GGATGTTTTTGTGCTGGTCAAGGGCAGTCAAGTCTGAGGAGAACCAGGGGCTATATCGGTTCTTAGTTCTGTATTTTTTGAATGGGGCATGTTTATTTAAGATTGAGAGGAAATTACTTTTAAGGAACAACCAGGCATCCTCTACTGACGGAATGAGATCTATATCCATCCAGGATACCTGGGCCAGGTCAATTAGGAAGGCCTCCTCGCTAAAGTGTTTTAGGGAACGTTTGACAGTGATGAGGGGTGGTCGTTTGACCGTGGACCCGTTACGGACGCAGGCAATAAGGCAGTGATCGCTGAGATCCTGGTTGAAGACGGCTGAGGTGTATTTAGAGGGTATGTTAGTCAGGATGATATCTATGAGGGTACCCATGTTTACGGATTTAGGGTTGTACCTGGTAGGTTCGTTGATAATTTGCGTGAGGTTGAGGGCATCTAGCTTGGATTGTAGGATGGCTGGGGTATTAAGCATATCCCAATTTAGGTCACCAAGCAGTACAAACTCAGAGGATAAATGGGGGGCAATTAATTCACATATGGTGTCCAGGGCACAGCTGGGGGCTGAGGGGGTTCTGTAGCAAGCGGCAACAGTGAGAGACTTATTTCTGGAAAGGTGGATTTTTAGAAGTAGAAGCTCAAACTGTTTGGGCACAGACCTGGATAGTATGATAGAGCTCTGCAGTCTATCTATGTTATAGTTGGGGATGGAAATTTCAGAATTTTTGGTGGCCTTCCTGAGCCAGGATTCAGACACTGCTAGAACATCAGGGTTGGCAGAGTGTGCTAAAGCAGTGAATAACTCAAAATTAGGAAGTAGACTTCTGATATTTATGTGCAAGAAACCAAGACTTTTGCGATTACAGAAGTCAACAAATGATAGCTCCTGGGGAGTAGGAGTGATACTGGGGGCTACAGGGCCTGGGTTAGCCTCTACATCATCAGAGGAACAGAGGAGGACTAGAATAAGGATACGGCTAAAGGCTTTAAGAACTGGTCTTCTAGTGCGTTGGGTACATAGAATAAAGGGGGCAGATTTCCGGGTGTTATAGAAAAGATTCAGGGCATTATGTACAGACAAGGATATGGAAGGATATGAGTAAAGTGGAGGTAAACCTAAGCGTTGGGTAACAATGAAAGAGATAGTATCTCTAGAGGCATCAATTGAGTCGGTCTCTGAGTGTATGGGGGGAGGGACAAAGGAGCTAACTAAGGCAGGTTTAGCTAGGCTGGGGGGTCTACAGTGATATAGTACAATTAGAAATAACCGAAACAACAATAAACTAACCATGTTTGGGCTGAGGCTAAACATAAACAGGATGTAGTACCGTAAAAAGGAACAGTCCAGCAGATATCAGCTGTATAGCTGAGTTATCATAAGGTCTGGTGGTGAAGCGCTAGTGAGTAAGAGGCCACGGCTAGCGTGTGCTACGTCCGTTTTGTTGTAGCCAGCTGGTAGCGATGAATCCGGAGTTAAAGGTCCAGTGATTCAGTGATTCCGGCGGAAAAACTGATATGTTCTGGGTCGATAACGCGCTGTGCAGACTGGCCGAATATCCGGTGATCAATGTCCAGTGATTAAAATTAATCCCGCGGAAAAAAATTGAATGTTCTGGGTGAAACACCGCTAGCTGTGGCTAATAGCAAGTAGCTAGTTCTCTTGGCATTCTCTCAACCATCTTCATGAGGTAGTCACCTGGAATGCATTTCAATTAACAGGTGTGCCTTGTTAAAAGTTAATTTGTGGAATTTATTTCCTTCTTAATGCGTTTGAGACAATCAGTTGTATTGTGACAAGGTAGGGTTGGTATACAGAAGATAGCCCTATTTGGTAGGTCCATATTATGGCAAGAACAGCTCAAATAAGCAAAGAGAACTGACAGTCAATTACTTTAAGACATGAAGATCAGTCAATCTGGAACATTTCAAGAACTTTTAAAGTTTCTTCAAGTGCAGTCGCAAAAACCATCAAGCGCTATGATGAAACTGGCTCTCATGAGGACCGCCACAGGAAAGGAAGACCCAGAGTTACCTCTGCTGCAGAGGATAAGTTCATTAGTTACCAGCCTCAGAAATAGGCAATTAACTGCACCTCAGATTGCAGCCCAAATAAATGCCTCACAGAGTTCAAGTAATAATTAATAATAATAATAATAATTAGTCATTTAGCAGACGCTCTTATCCAGAGCGACTTACATGAGCAATTAGGGTTAAGTGCCTTGCTCAAGGGCACATCGACAGATTTTTCACCTAGTCGGCTCGGGGATTAGAACCAGCGACCTTTCAGTTACTGCCACAACGCTCTTAACCACTAAGCTACCTGCCGCCCCGTAACAGACACATCTCAATATCAACTGTTCAGAGGATACTGCCTGAATCAGGCCTTCATGGTCGAATTGCTGCAAAGAAACCCCTACTAAAGTACACCAATAAAAAGAAGAGACTTGCTTGGGCCAAGAAACACGAGCAATGGACATTAGACTGTTGGAAATCTGTCCTTTGGTCTGATGAGTCCAAATTTGAGATTTCTGGTTCCAACCGCCGTGTCTTTGTGAGACAGAGTAGATGAACGGATTATCTCCGCATGTGGTTCCCACCGTGAAGCATGGAGGAGGTGGTGTGATGGTGCTTTGCTGGTGACACTGTCAGTGATTTATTTAGAATTCAAGGCACACTTAACCAGCATGTCTACCACAGCATTCTGCAGCGATACGCCATCCCATCTGGTTTGCGTTTAGTGGGACTATCATTTGTTTTTCAACAGGAAAATGACCCTAAACACACATCCAGGCTGTGTAAGGGCTATTTAACCAAGGAGAGTGATGGAGTGCTGCATCAGATGACCTGGCCTCCACACTCACCCGACCTCAACCCAACTGAGATGGTTTGGGATGAGTTGGACTGCAGAGTGAAGGAAAAGCAGCCAACAAGTGCTCAGCATATGTGGGAACTCCTTCAAGACCATTGGAAAGCATTCCAGGTGACTACCTCATGAAGCTGGTTGAGAGACTGCCAAGAGTGTGCAAAGCTGTCATCAAGGCAAAGGATGGCTACTTTTAAGAATATAAAATATTTTGATTTGTTTAACACTTTTTTGGTTACTACATGATTCCATATGTGTTATTTCATAGTTTTGATGTCTTCACTATTATTCTACAATGTAGAAAATAGTAAAAATAAAAACCCTTGAATGAGTAGGCGTGTCCAAACTTTTGACTGGTACTGTATGTTGAACAAACCTAATCCCGTAATTTTTTATTCTATAAATGGAGTACCTGACTGGGTTTAAATACTCCTGAATTCTACTTTAGCTCCAGAAATCCACTAGCCTGGCTACTTGACATTTCCCCTCCTTTCCTTCAAAAGGGGTTTAATCCTTCATTTACAGTAAACCAACAATGAAACGGGGGATAGTGTTCATTGCTGCACCTCATGTGTTTTTCCATCCTCTTCCCTTAGTCATACAGCTAGAGCTATTGAAACGGTGTAGAATGCACCTCTTTTCCATAAAAGGCCTTTTCTGGGCCGCTGCAGATTCCCAGAAGCCGACTTATTTGAGTTCTCTCTGCTCTCGCGCCTCTCACACACCATTAGTGCTTCTGTTAAGAGGGAGACACTTTGGATATTTAGTAAACGTCACCCTGTCCCACCACTTCACAACTTCAACTAGGCCATCAAGTGATATTCCAGTCCAGCAGAGATCCTTAACCAATCAAAAGCAGGGTTATTGCCATGTGCCACATTTTGGTATGACCAAGACAAAAAGCATGTTTCAGCTGTGCAGTGTGTGCTACTGTTCCCTGAACCATGCTTGTTCCCGTTCATACCAGTATCTCAATTCTGATTATCTTGCTTTGGAATAAGTTTTACTTCAAAAACAGCACTCAGGTCTTTCCTGAAGTTAGATTTGCTTGCCACCAACACGCTTCCTGTCAATGAGAAAACCAATAACTGTAAAAGTTAGATGCAGCTTAATCTTTTACAAAACACCTTTAACATACTAGCTACTGTAGGTACAGTTTAACATGTTTACATTCCTTACTATATATTAACATTTGCATATACATCTAGCTTTTCAAAAATAACTTGGACAGCATAGTCGATAAAACATTTTTTTTTAAACAACACAGCTCCTCCAAAAACTGACATATTAAGCAGCACGGCCCTATAAGCAATAATACAGATACTTGTGCCCTTCACATATGGAGGACTAAAAGTGCCACAATTAAATAAATAAATACACCATTAAATAATTACTTAAATGTGTCATTAATTAATTAAAATTAGAATTAAATACATAAATGTGTTATTAAATGTGTCATTAATTAATTCAAATACCGATTCATTTTATGTAAAATACATATATAATAATTTCACTATTTACATTTACATTTCATGGTCCTGCGTTGGAGTGCTTCCTGAATTACTTAAAACTGTCAAACTGACCCATCAAAAGTTGGTAGGCGGAACCTAACGCCTGATTGGTTACCCTCTGCATCAAGCCAAGACAAATCAATTCCGGATAATGTCAGCAGGTCCTGCTTCTACATCCTCTGCTAAGTTTAAAATGTCTCTAACCAACTCCCTGGAAAGTTCACGGAGATCCTCCATTGTCTCTATCCAGGTTGGCCTACTCTACTTCAGACCAAAGCAATGGATCAGACTAGATTCGCGTTAGCCCCGCCCACTGACTTTGATGGGTCAGTTTGACAGTTTTAAGTAATTAATGAATCACTGCAATGCAGGATCATGAAATGTAAATGTAAATAGTGAAATAATTATATATGTATTTTACATAAAATGAATCGGTATTTGAATTAATTAATGACACATTTATTTACACATTTATATATTTAATTATAATTTGAATTAATTAATGACACATTTAAGTAATTATTTAATGGTGTATTTATTTATTTAATTGTGGCACTTTTAGTCCTCCATATTCACAATCATCAATGCCTCTTCTTTTAAAACTTGCCCTTCAGTTCCCCAATAACCCTATGGAGCATTTTCCAGTCTAGGTAGGCCACCAGGCCCCCCTGGTTGGCCCAGCGGTCTGCCCCAGGGCTCTCTGAGTGGGATTGGTGGTAGGTCAGTTCCTCCTGGTCATGGTGCCCCCCCTCACAGTGGCCGGAGCGGAGGCACTCTTTAAGGTCCAGCATTCCCCCACCAAGTGCAAGGAGCAGGGCATGGGGGCCGCAGGAGTCCCACTTGAAGGTGCTGCCCTCGGAAAGGACATAGACGTCAGCCAGGCCCAGGATCACACACAGGATCTTGTATCCGGCCCCCGAGGCATACATCAGCCTGTCAGGCCCACACAGAGGGGCCAAGGCCTCCTTCACCACCTGCTTCTCACTGGAGCTCAGCACCACTGATAGTCCTGGACTCTCTGCAGGTCTGTCTTTAGGTCGGAGCACCGAGCAGGCTTTGACGCTCCCACATGACACACCCCAGAAATGCTTCCCCTTCCAGCTGCAACAAATACGCACATCACATCAAACAAATGTAATTAAAAGGCAGCTTTGTTGGTGAGAACTGAGCATTACTGAGTATGTTATTTCTGTGTCAGACAGGGTTAACTATTTAAATTCAGTCAATTCAATAAGTGGATTGAAAATAGTAATTGAAAATGAAATTACTTTTTCCAATACTTAAATTGGAAAGAAATGGTCATTTAAATCGACAACTTAAATAGCATTGACCCTAACCCTGGTGTCAAAATTATTGCTGTTCTGGTTCTACAGTAAAATCCAAATGTATTTGTCACATGCTTCGTAAACAACAGGTGTAGACTAACAGTGACATGCTTACTTACAAGCCCTTCCCAAGAATTCAGAGAGAAAGAAAATAGAGAAATAATAGAAAATAAATAGTCTCACCCTGTTGGGTCTTTCTGGTTGAAGGGCTGGTTGATGACCCCCATGACTGGTTCCCCAGTGGCTCGGAGGTATACCCCAATCAGAACCAGGGCACACTGCAGACCTGAAGGACAGAGACGGCCCTCCTCCACCACCTCCTCACAACCCTCAATGTACTGGCTAGTGGCATCTGAACGACAACCAAACACATAGAAACAACATATATATATACAGTGGGGAGAACAAGTATTTGATACACTGCCGATTTTGCAGGTTTTCCTACTTACAAAGCATGTAGAGGTCTGTAATTTTTATCATAGGTACACTTCAACTGTGAGAGACGGAATCTAAAACAAAAATCCAGAAAATCACATTGTATGATTTTTAAGTAATTAATTTGCATTTTATTGCTTGACATAAGTATTTGATCACCTACCAACCAGTAAGAATTCCAGCTCTCACAGACCTGTTAGTTTTTCTTTAAGAAGCCCTCCTGTTCTCCACTCATTACCTGTATTAACTGCACCTGTTTGAACTCGATACCTGTATAAAAGACACCTGTCCACACACTCAATCAAACAGACTCCAACCTCTCCACAATGGCCAAGACCAGAGAGCTGTGTAAGGACATCAGGGATTAAATTGTAGACCTGCACAAGGCTGGGATGGGCTACAGGACAATAGGCAAGCAGCTTGGTGAGAAGGCAACAACTGTTGGCGCAATTATTAGAAAATGGAAGAAGTTCAAGATGACGGTCAATCAGCCTCGGTCTGGGGCTCCATGCAAGATCTCACCTCGTGGGGCATCAATGATCATGAGGAAGGTGAGGGATCAGCCAAGAACTACACGGCAGGACCTGGTCAATGACCTGAAGAGAGCTGGGACCACAGTCTCAAAGAAAACCATTAGTAACACACTACGCCGTCATGGATTAAAATCCTGCAGCGCACGCAAAGTCCCCCTGCTCAAGCCAGCGCATGTCCAGGCCCGTCTGAAGTTTGCCAATGACCATCTGGATGATCCAGAGGAGGAATGAGAGAAGGTCATGTGGTCTGATGAGACAAAAATAGAGCTTTTTGGTCTAAAGTTTGGAGGAAGAAGAAGGATGAGTACAACCCCAAGAACACCATCCCAACCGTGAAGCATGGAGGTGGAAACATCATTCTTTGGGGATGCTTTTCTGCAAAGGGGACAGGACGACTGCACCATATTGAGGGGAGGATGGATGGGGCCATGTATTGCGAGATCTTGGCTAACAACCTCCTTCCCTCAGTAAGAGCATTGAAGATGGGTCGTGGCTGGGTCTTCCAGCATGACATTGACCTGAAACACACAGGCAGGGCAACTAAGGAGTGGCTCCGTAAGAAGCATCTCAAGGTCCTGGAGTGGCCTAGCCAGTCTCCAGACCTGAACTCAATAGAAAATCTTTGGAGGGAGCTGAATGTCCGTACTGCCCAGCGACAGCCCCGAAACCTGAAGGATCTGGAGAAGGTCTGTATGGAGGAGTGGGCCAAAATCCCTGCTGCAGTGTGTGCAAACCTGGTCAAGACCTACAGGAAACGTATGATCACTGTAATTGCAAACAAAGGTTTCTGTACCAAATATTAAGTTCTGCTTTTCTGATGTATCAAATACTTATGTCATGCAATAAAATGTTTGTCCTGTAGCCCATCCCAGCCTTGTGCAGGTCTACAATTTTATCCCTGATGTCCTTACACAGCTCTCTGGTCTTGGCCATTGTGGAGAGGTTGGAGTCTGTTTGATTGAGTGTGTGGACAGGTGTCTTTTATACAGGTATCGAGTTCAAACAGGTGCAGTTAATACAGGTAATGAGTGGAGAACAGGAGGGCTTCTTAAAGAAAAACTAACAGGTCTGTGAGAGCCGGAATTCTTACTGGTTGGTAGGTGATCAAATACTTATGTCATGCAATAAAATGCAAATGAATTACTTAAAAATCATACAATTTGATTTTCTGGATTTTTGTTTTAGATTCCATCTCTCACAGTTGAAGTGTACCTATGATAAAAAATTACAGACCTCTACATGCTTTGTAAGTAGGAAAACCTGCAAAATCGGCAGTGTATCAAATACTTGTTCTCCCCAATGTATATACATACACACACACACACACACACACACACACACACACACACAAAGGTATGTGGACACCCCTTCAAATTAGTGGATACGGCAATTTCAGCCACACCTGTTACTGACAGGTGTATAAAATCGAGCACACAGCCATGCAATCTCCATAGACAAATATTGGCAGTAGAATGGCCTTACTGAAGAGCTCAGTAACTTTCCACGTCAGCTAGGATGCCACCTTTCCAACAAGTCAGTTCGTAAAATTTCTGCCCTGCTAGAGCTGTCCCGGTCAACTGTAAGTGCTGTTATTGTGAAGTGGAAACATCTAGGAGCAACAACGGCTCAGCCGCGAAGTGGTAGGCCACAAAAGCTCACAGAACGGGACCGCCGAGTGCTGAAGTGCGTAGCGCATAAAATTAATCTGTTCTCAGTTGCAACACTCACTCCCAAGTTCCAAACTGCCTCTGGAAGCAACTTCAGCACAATAACTGTTCGTCGTGAGCTTTATCAAATGGGTTTCCATGGCCGAGCAGCCGCAGACAAGCCTAAGATCACCATGCGCAATGCCAAGCGTCGGCTGGAGTGGTGTAAAGCTCGCCGCCATTGGACTTTGGAGCAGTGGAAACACTTTCTCTAGGGTAATGAATCAAGCTTCACCATCCGGCAGTCCGACGGACGAATCTGGGTTTGGCAGATGCCAGGAGAACGCTACCTGCCCGAATGCGTAGTGCCAACTGTAAAGTTTGGTGGAGGAGGAATCATGGTCTGGGGCTGTTTTTCATGGTTCGGGCTAGGCCCCTTAGTTCCAGTGATGGGAAATCTTAATGCTACAGCATACAATGACATTCTACACGATTCTGTGCTTCCAACTTTGTGGCAACAGTTTGGGGAAGGCCCTTTCCTGTTTCAGCATGACAATGCCCCCATATACAAAGCGAGGTCCATACAGAAATGGTTTGTCGAGATCGGTGTGGAAGAACTTGACTGGCCTGCACAGAGCCCTGACCTCAACTCCATTGAGATGAATTGGAATGCCGACTGCGAGCCAGGCCTAATCGCCCAACATCAGTGCTCGACCTCACTAATGCTCTTGTGGCTGAATGGAAGCAAGTCCCTGCAGCAATGTTCCAACATCTAGTGGAAAGCCTTCCCATAAGAGTGGAGGCTGTTATAGCAGCAAAGGGGGGACCAACTCCATATTAATACCCATGATTCTGGAATGAGATGTTCGACGAGCAGGTGTCCACATACTTTTGCACATGTAGTGTTACTACAATTAATATGTGAATAAACAGTGTGAAAGGACAAGGAAAAATCTATTCCCTGGCGTTTGTGTAGTATTTACACCATACAATAAGTGGATCTGCTCAGTGCTCACACATCCCTTCTAACATTATTCATAATATCATTCCACGTACAGTACAGTCTTCATCGACCTGGCCAAGGCTTTCGACTGTCAACCACCGCATTCTTATTGGCAGACTAAATAGCCTTAGTTTCTCAAATGACTGCCTCGCCTGGTTCACCAACTACTTCTCAGATAGAATTCAATGTGTCAAATCGGAGGGCCTGTTGTCTGGACCTATGGCAGTCTCTATGGGGGTGCCACAGGGTTCAATTCTCGGGCCGACTCTTTTCTCTGTGTATATCAATGATGTCGCTCTTGCTGCTGGTGACGCTCAGATCCACCTCTACGCAGACGAGACCATTTTGTATACATCTGGCCCTTCATTGGACACTGTGTTAACAAACCTCCAAACGAGCTTCAATGCCATACAACACTCCTTCCGTAGCCTCCAACTGCTCTTAAACACTAGTAAAACTAAATGCATGCTCTTCAATCGAATGCTGCTGGCACCCGCCCACCCGACTAGAATCACTACTCTCAGCGGGTCTGACCTAGAGTAATCCAGGCACTTGTCATCTCCCGTCTGGATTACTGCAACTCGCTGTTGGCTGGGCTCCCTGCCTGTGCCATTAAACCCCTACAACTTATCCAGAACGCTGCACCCCGTCTGGTATTCAACCTTCCCAAGTTCTCTCATGTCACCCCGCTCCTCCGCACACTCCACCGGCTTCCAGTTGAGGCTCGCATCTACTACAAGACCATGGTGCTTGCCTATGGAGCTGTGAGGGGAACGGCACCTCCTTACCTTCAGGCTCTGATCAGACCCTACACCCAAACGAGGGCACTACGTTCATCCACCTCTGGCCTATTAGCCCCCCTACCTCTACGGAAGCACAGTTCCCAGTCAAAGCTATTCGCTGCTCTGGCACCGCAATGGTGGAACAAGCTCCCCCATGACGCCAGGACAGCGGAGTCAGTGACCACCTTCCGGAGACACTTGAAACCCTACCTCTTTAAGGAATACCTGGAATATTATAAAAGTAATCCTTCTACCCCCCCCATGAAAAAAAAGGTGGTTGTCCCACTGGCTATCATAAGTTGAATGCACCAATTTGTAAGTCGCTCTGGATAAGAGCGTCTGCTAAATGAGGTAAATGTAAACGTAAATGTAAACTACAAATACCTAGGTGTCTGGTTAGACTGTAAACTCTCCTTCCAGACTCACATTAAGTATCTCCAATCCAAAGTTTAAAATCTAGAATCGGCTTCCTATTTCGCAACAAAGCCTCCTTCACTCATGCTGCCAAACATGCCCTCGTAAAACTGACTATCCTACCGATCCTTGACTTCGGCGATGACATTTACAAAATAGCCTCCAACACTCTACTCAGCAAATTGGATGTAGTCTATCACAGTGCCATCCGTTTTGTCACCAAAGCCCCATATACTACACACCACTGTGACCTGTACACTCTTGTTGGCTGGTCCTCACTACATATTCATCGCCAAACTCACTGGCTCCAGGTCATCTATAAATCACTGCTAGGCAAATCCCCGCCTTATCTTAGCTCATTGGTCACCATAGCAACACCCACCCGTAGTATGCGCTCCAGCAGGTATATCTCACTGGTCATCCCCAAAGCCAACACCTCCTTTGCCCGCCATTCCTTCCAGTTCTCTGCTGCCAATGACTGGAACGAACTGCAAAAATCTCTGAAGCTGGAGACTTATCTCCCTCACTAACTTTAAGCATCAGTTGTCAGAGCACCTTACCGATCACTGCACCTGTACACAGCCCATCTGAAATTAGCCCACCCAACTACCTCATCCCCATATTGTTATTTATTTTGCTCATTTGCACCCCAGTATCTCTATTTGCACATCATCTCTTGCACATCTATCATTCCAGTGTTCATTATTTTGCACTATGGCCTATTTATTGCCTTACCTCCATAACTTGCTACATTTGCACACACTGTATATATATTTTCTGTTGTATTTTTGAATTTTTGTTTTGTTTACCCCATTTGTAACTCTGTGTTGTTGTTTTTAAATCGCACTGCTTTGCTTGATCTTGGCCAGGTCGCAGTTGTAAATGAGAACTTGTTCTCAACTGGCTTACCTGGTTAAATAAAGGTTAAATAAAAATAAAATGAAAAAACAGTCAAAAGTTTGGACACACCTACTCATTCAAAGGTTTTTCTTTATTTTTACTATTTTCTACTATGTAGAATAATAGTGAAGACATCAAAACAATGAAATAACACATATGGAATCATGTAGTAACCAAAACAAGTGTTAAACAAATCCAAATATATTTTAAGCCACGCTTTGCCTTGATGACAGCTTTTCAAACTCTTGGCATTCCCTCAACCAGCTTCACCTGGAATGCTTTTCCAACAGTCTTGAAGGAGTTCCCACATATGCTGAGCACTTGTTGGCTGCTTTTCCTTCACTCTGACGTCTGACTCATCCCAAACCAACTCAGTTGGGTTGAGGTTGGGTGATTGTGGTGGCCAGGTCAACTGATGCAGCACTCCATCACTCTCCTTCTTGGTCAAATAGCCCCTACACAGCCTGGAGGTGTGTTGGGTCATTGTCCTGTTAAAAAACAAATGATAGTCCCACTAAGCCCAAACCAGATGGGATGGCGTATCGCTGCAGAATGCTGTGGTAGCCATGCTGGTTAAGTGTGCCTTGAATTCTAAATTAAATCACAGACAGTGTCACCAGCAAAGCACCCCCACACCATAACACCTCCTCCTCCATGCTTTATGGTGGGAACTACACATGCGGAGATCATCCGTTCACGGTGGTTGGAACCAAAAATCTCAAATTTGGACTCCAGACCAAAGGACACATTTCCACCGGTCTAATATCCATTGCTTGTGTTTCTTAGCCCAAGCAAGTCTCTTCTTCTTATTGGTGTACTTTAGTAGTGGTTTCTTCGCAGCAATTCGACCATGAAGGCCTGATTCACACAGTCTCCTCTGAACAGTTGAAGTTGAGATGTGTCTGTTACTTCAACTCTGTGAAGCATTTATTTGGGCTGCAATTTCTGAGGCTGGTAACTCTAATGAACTTATCCTCTGCAGCAGAGGTCACTCTGGGTCTTCCATTCCTGTGACAGTCCTCATGAGAGCCAGTTTCATCATAGCGCTTGATGGTTTTTGCGACTGCACTTGAAGAAACTTTCAAAGTTCTTGAAATGTTCCATATTGACTGACCTTCATGTCTGAAAAGTAATGATGGACTGTTGTTTCTCTTTGCTTATTTGAGCTGTTCTTGCCATAATATGGACTTGGTCTTTTACCAAATAGGGCTATCTTCTGTATACCCCCCCTACCTTGTCACAACACAACTAAATGGCTCAAACGCATTAAGAAGGAAATAAATTCCACAAATTAACTTTTAAGAAGGAACACCTGTTAATTGAAATGCATTCCAGGTGACTACCTCATGAAGCTGGTTGAGAGAATGCCAAGAGTGTGCAAAGCTGTCATCCCTCAGGGGTGCGTGCTCAGTCCCCTCCTGTACTCCCTGTTCACCCATGACTGCATGGCCAGGCACGACTCCATCATTAAGTTTGCCGACGACACAACAGTGGTAGGCCTGATCACCGACAACGATGAGACAGCCTATAGGGAGGAGGTTAGAGACCTGGCCGTGTGGTGCCAGGATAACAACCTCTCCCTCAACGTGACCAAGACAAAGGAGATGATTGTGGACTACAGGAAAAAAAAGAGGACTGAGCACGCCCCCATTCTCATCGACGGGGCTGTAGTGGAACAGGTTGAGAGCTTCAAGTTCCTTGGTGTCCACATCACCAACGAACTATCATGGTCCAAACACACCAAGACAGTCGTGAAGAGGGCACAACAAAGCCTATTTCCCTTCAGGAGACTGAAAAGATTTGGCATGGGTCCTCAGATCCTCAAAAGGATATACAGCTGCACCATCGAGAGTATCCTGACTGGTTGCATCACCGCCTGGTATGGCAACTGCTCGGCCTCCGACCGCAAGGCACTATAGAGGGTAGTGCGTACAGCCCAGTACATCACTGGGGCCAAGCTTCCTGCCATCCAGGACCTCTATACCAGGCGGTGTCAGAGGAAGGCCCTCAAAATTGTCAAAGACTCCAGCCACCCTAGTCATAGACTGTTCTCTCTGCTACCGCACGGCAAGCGGTACCGGAGTGCCAAGTCTAGGTCCAAAAGGCTTCTCAACAGCTTCTACCCCCAAGCCATAAGACTCCTGACCAGCTAATCATGGCTACCCAGACTATTTTCACTGCCCCCCCACCCAATCTTTTTATGCTGCTGCTCCTCTGTTAATTATTTATGCATAGTCACTTTAACTCTACCCACATGTACATATTACCTCAACTAGCCGGTGCCCCCGCACATTGACTCTGCACCGGTACCCCCCTGTATATAGCCTCCCTACTGTTATTTTATTTTACTTCTGCTCTTTTTTTCTCAACACTTTTTTGTTGTTGTTTTATTTTAGTTTTTTTTAAACAAAAAAATGCATTGTTGGTTAAGGGCTGTAAGTAAGCATTTCACGGTAATGTCTACACCTGTTGTATTCGGCGCATGTGGCAAATAAAATTTGATTTGATGGCAAAGGGTGGCTATTTGAAGAATCTCAAATATAAAATATATTTTGATTTGTTTAACACTTTTTTGGTTACTACATAATTCCATATGTGTTATTTCATAGTTTTGATGTCTTCACTATTATTCTACAATGTAAAAAATAGTAAAAATAAATAAAAAGGCTTGAATGAGTAGGTGTGTCCAAACTTTTGACTGGTAGTGTATATCTACGAAGACAACAAATCGGGTTTTTAAATAGTGACTCCTGGTCAGGTATTACCGATGGGGTCGATCCAGATGCCCAGGTCAGAGGGGCTGAGGGGTATGTGGAGGTCGTCTGTGCCCGTGTCTTTGAGTGTGAGCGTAGCGTCCTGGTGGATGGCACATGCCAGTAGAGTCGCCGCAGTCTGGTCCCCGTCCAGCACCGTGGCCAGCAACGTGGCCGTCTCCTTCTCTGTCCCACACACTGTGACTATCACACTCTCCCCTGGGACGCATGCATGAACACACACACACGCACAGCCAACATGTAGTCGACAAGTCCAGTGCTATTCAAAAATTTGATTATATAGTGGAATTGTTGCTCTTACCTATCTGTGTAGTAAGTAACACTGTTATTACCCAAGTAGCTGTATAATGTTTCAAAGTAATAATAGTAATTGTGGATGCCGTTTCTACTAACCTAGTCCATTTTCAAACTGGTTAGACTCCTCTCCTTGTATATGGTCAATCATTTCGGGAAACTAAGGTAAAACAGGATAAAACCAGTAGAGGGGTTAGGGTTGCCAAAAACATTTTATCATACTAGAGAGGGATATATAATAAATCCTCCAGAGGCTTGCCTGGATTTCAGACATGAAACAATCGTCATTCTGATAACATGAGAAGTGTTTTGGTTCCTTTACCTGAGCTCCAACATCATGGCGGATCATCTCTTGGATTACCACATCGGCCAACGTCTTGAAGTCCTGGACAAACTTCTTGTTCTTGTCCACCCCAGTCTTCTCCTGGACCAGCAGCTGGAAGAGAGGGGCCTCCTGCCTGCACACGCGGGCCACGTTGGCCGCCTTCTCTGCCACACGCAGCAGCAGCTTCAGCAGATCAGCCATACCTGCCTGACACCTGACCTGAGAGAGAGCGCGAGAGAGAGAGGGTTAACACATTAAATTCCTATGTGTAGGCTAGAGGGTCATTAGATAGTACCTTAGATATGGGGTCAGAGTTTCTGGAAGAGGGTGTTTTCCCCAAAACATGTTGTGCCACGGCATGGCTGACCTGAGGAGTTACAAAATGTTCTTCTGACTCTCCAGATAAGATATTTATTTTTTTGCCACAGCCTAGTAGTCTGCCATAGCTTCTCTCAATGGGGAAAGGATCTTGAAGACATTAAAGACTGTTACTCTGTAGGGGTTATAATGAAGCAATTGACTGAATTACCTGGGGAGGTCTACTCTGATATTTAAAGTTTGTGAGTGTGTGTGTGGCCTGCCTCTGGGTCCATGCCTAATTATAGCCTCTCAAATAATGAAACCAGGACATCTCTATCTGACTGCAAAGGAAAAGAATGATCCCCATTTAATAAGAAATAACCTAGACTGTTTAATAAAACCATGCACTCTATCCACATGCAAACTGCATCCATCCACATACAAAAACTTCAAAGAAGTCCAGTAGCCTAAAACGGATCTTTCTGGTTCCTCCTCATTGCTGTAAGTCAAGACAATCTATGGCATTTGGGCAAGTTGAGGCAGCTGTGTGGTTGCCCCATTTTTTTTAACTGAATACAGCCAAAGTGTTAATCTGTTGTGGCCCTGAAAACAAGTGATGTCAGAAAACAAAATATTAAAAAGAGTTACACTGATTACAATCTTATTCAAATATGACTAGGGTTCACTGTCAAGAATAGGTTACTGAAACAGAGAACAGGAAAGCAAGCACGACTAGGCATACAGTGCCTTTTTCCACATTTTGTTACGTTACAGCCTTATTCTAAAATGTATTAAATCGTTTTCCCCCCCTCATCAATCTACACACAATACCCCATAATGACAACGCAAAAACAGGTTTTTCGAATTTTTTGCTAATTTATAAAATAAAATAAACTGAAATATCACATTTACATAAGTATTCAGACCCTTTACTCAGTACTTTGTTGAAGCACCTTTGGCAGCGATTACAGCATTGAGTCTTCTTGGGTATGACGCTACAAGCTTCGCATACCTGTATTTGGGGAGTTTCTCCCATTCTTCTCTGCAGATCCTCTTAAGCTCTGTCAGGTTGGATGGGGAGCGTTGCTGCACAGCTATTTTCAGGTCTCTCCAGTGATGTTCGATCGGGTTCAAGTCCGGGCTCTGGCTGGGCCACTCAAGGACATTCAGAGACTTGTCCCGAAGCCACTCCTGCTTTGTCTTGGCTGTGTGCTTAGGGTCGTTGTCCTGTTGGAAGGTGAACCTTTGCCCCAGTCTGAGGTCCTGAGCGCTCTGGAGCAGGTTTTCATCAAGGATCTCTCTGTACTTCGCTCCGTTCATATTTGCCTAGATCCTGACTAGTCTCCCAGTCCCTGCCGCTGAAAAACATCCCCACACCATGATGCTGCCACCACCATGCTTCACCGTAGGGATGGAGCCAGGTTTCCTCCAGACGTGACGCTTGGCATTCAGGCCAAAGAGTTCAATCTTGGTTTCATCAGACCAGACAATCTTGTTTCTCATGGTCAGAGTCTTTAGGTGCCTTTTGGCAAACACCAAGCGAGCTGTCATGTGCCTTTTACTGAGGAGTGGCTTCCGTCTGGCCACTCTACCATAAAGGCCTGATTGGTGGAGTGCTGCAGAGATGGTTGTCCTTCTGGGAGGTTCTCCCATCTCCACAGAGGAACTCTGGAGCTCTGTCAGAGTCACCATCAGGTTCTTGGTCACCTCCCTGACCAAGGCCCTTCTCCCCTGATTGCTCAGTTTGGTCAGGCGGCCGGCTCTAGGAAGAGCCTTGGTGGTTCCAAACTTCTAACATTTAAGAAAGATGGAGGCCACTGTGTTCTTGGGGACCTTCAATGCTGCAGAAATGTTTTGGTTCCCTTCCCCAGGTCTGTGCCTCTACACAATCCTGTCTCTGAGCTCTACAGACAATTCCTTCGACCTCATGGCTTGGTTTTTGCTCTGACATGCATGGTCAACTGTGGGACCTCATATAGACAGGTATGTGCCTTTCCAAATCATGTCCAATCAATATAATTTACCACAGGTGGCCTCCAATCAAGTTGTAGAAACATCTCAAGGATAATCAATGGAAACAGGATGTTTTGTACACTCACTCTAAATGCAAAATCATTTAAATTGCGTCGCCGGTCACTCAGTAATGTCACGCCTCCATCCAGAATATAGGCTACGGTACGTGCGCATATTTCACGCACCTGTAGTTCATTCCGGTAGGAGAAAAAAACTATCAACACAGCCACTCCGCACTTGAGTAGGCTATCTGAGCAACACGGACGAATCTAGAAATGAAGCCAAAATGTCTTAATATAAAAATGATATCAACAGTGAATGCTACCTTACGTTAAATCATTGTAGCTTATATTACTCTTACCGGGAAAGGTTCCGGCTGATTCGTACTTTGGTATTTTCTCGTCTATCTCCCTTCGAAGCTGGCCTGTCACGATCACTACAAATGTTGCCTGTGTCAATGCACGCAGGATGAGGATTGCATGAATGGGCGTGAAGCCGTGTAGGCTAGTCTACAGTCCGCTACAAAAACAAATGTACTACGGGCAACACTCAGATGTCGAGGATCTAAATTCCTTACTTCAGGGAAGGAGTTGCCTATTCTTGTTTGATTACGTCGGTGCATATGTTGCGTATGGGAAGGGCGGACGGAGGTGATTTTCCACTGAGTTCGCAAAGGCTTTTCCTGCGTAGACAACGTGGGCAGAGTTTAGAATGTAGTACTTACTGTAGCCTAGCAGTGTAGAGTTTGTATGCTGCTACAATGTAACCTAATTTAGCATGCGTAAAAGTAAACAATGTAACAATGCTACAATGTAATTACTGAACTTCAACACTTCTAGACCCGCCTACGGCGTAGTAGGAATGTTTATTTCCTACAACATATACTTATTCTACATCCCTCAAGACAGGGCAAAAGCTATGCAACACAACATTTAGAAGTATATTCTTCTCCCAATCATTGCATCAATTCTAAATGCTAAATCCAAGGTAAATGCTCAATCCAAGGTAAAGGTGACCTATGCAGCTAAATTCATGTAAACTCGCGGGATAAGGCGGCTTTGCAAAGCTAAAGGTGACCTGAACAAATATTATCCTATGTATCCTATGTGCAATTGTCATTTGATATGAACACAACAGTAAAATAATCCTAATAAGTGACCAAATTGAAGAGGAAATGGTTTTAGTGGCGCCCTAAATTGCTCCTCTATTACCACCAGAAGCATCCATTATCATGCTGCATACATCAAGCATTACTGTAGTAGGCCTGCATGGAGACTGTAAGTCCCAAATGGCACCCTATTCCCTTTATAGTGCACTACGCTTGACCAGGGCTCATACGACCAGAGCCCATAAAAAGTAATGCACTTTAAAGAGAATAGGGTGCCATTTGTGACAGAACCACTGTCTGGCTGACTGCCAGGAGCTTTCATATGGTTGATCAATACAGTTTAGCTATTCACAGCACTGAGGCGAGAGGCAGCTAAACACACAACCACCGCACAAGGGTAATATCCCAAATCACACCCTATTCCCTATCAAAAGTGCACTACCTTTGATCAGAGCCCTATAGGTCCTGGTCAAAAGAAGTGCTCTATAAAGGGAATAGGGTGCCTTTTGGGACATTAACAATGGGTGTCTCAGTCTTAGAGCATCAGTTTGCCAGTAAATTACCAAGTCTCACAATACAGCAAAAGAAGGGTGGGTTTCTGTCTTCAAATGCAGGTAATATAATAAAGCAAATAATTTAGCAGTAATGATTGCATTTGCATGGAATTGATTGTGTAGATAATTGAGGAAAATCATTTTGGTGTTGTATTGTCCCATGCCTATTGTCATTCTGTAGTTGTCCATGTCATTTCGTATTTCACTCTATGGTCGGATGATCTAAATGAGCTTTCATTTGTGTCCATTTATAAGATGATAAGGTGAACACAATGTACATTTATTTGAACATTGAGTTTAGCTAAGGACCGAGGAGCCATATGATACCACATACAATGAAATCATAGGCTATGATACTATACAATTCTAAATATGCCTTATAAGACTGGCTATGTTCCTAATCTTATAAGGAGTCTCTAATCTATGAAACAAGTTAAAAACAGTGGTCATTCAAATACTTTTTGTATTTAATGACAATTTACTTGAATAATATTGAAATAGAGTTTTGATAGGTGATGTGTGCTTGCTGTATCTGTGTTTTGTGCATAGAGTGTGTTATATATGTAATTCTATGGCACTGTGTTCCTGAAAGAGAACTGAGCGGAGCGTGTCAGAACTAGAGAGTTCCATGATCCCCATCATCCATGTGTTCCATAAATACTCGGGCCACAAGTGCAAGCTGAAGAAGGCAGAGCTCAAAGATATTATCAATAATGAGATGAGTCACTTCATCATTGTGAGTCACTCTCTGGTTGTATTCCAAATGGCACCCTATTCCCTATATAGTGCACTACTTTTGACCAGAGCCCTACGGGCTCATCCAATTAGAAAAATATGAATTGTTTTTTAGCCTTCTGTATGAATAAAAAATTATATAATAAATAATTACATTGAACAGCTGATTGTAATGATTTAGATGACTATTCTATGATTATTAGATTATTACACTTTACTTAAAGCCTGCAGGTCTATGTGTTATTACTTGTTATAAGCATGAAAGGGCCTATACAGGACATTTTTAACTCAAATAACCTGACACAAATTATAATCTGACACAGATTCATTTTTACTGTTGTTCTTGTCTCTTTTAAGAAATTCCAAGAGAATCGGACTCTGGATGTGCTGTTTGCAGACCTGGACCAGAACAGAGACCTGGAGATTGACTTCCAAGAGTTCATCGTGTTGATCGCCATGATGATGTCAGCGTGCCACGACCTCTTCAGCCCAGATCACAACCATTAGTGACACAATGTAAAGGCGTGATTGTGTTTGAGCAAAACACACATACAGTACATACAGTGTAACCCTCTCTCATAAAGATGAAAATATGATGAAGCTCCTTTGGTTACATGCCATTGAATTTATTATGGTATAGTAGTTGTATATATAAACATTTAACAAATCAATGACAACAATACATAGATGCCTACATAACAATATGTATTGTGAAAATAGTGTTCTCTTGAATGTATCTGTAATTTCACTGAGTCCACTTGATTTTGAGTTTTGTGTCTTTCATTGTGGAGAGACACGTGAAATGGACCATTCTATCACAAAGTGGTCGTAAGGCTATTTCTATTCCTCTCCCCTCACCCTCTTAGATGGCGTTCCATAAATTCCAGGGTCCTCTTCCAGGCATCTTCTTGGGCAGCAGCGTGGGGTGCCAGGTGCCCTCCCCAGAGAGTGATCACTATAGGAGAAAAAAACATAACAGGACAGCATGGGAAATAACCAGGAAAAATGAATCATACTGTCATCCTCTCATTGAGAGATAAGTTAATTAAAATGTCTATTACCCTTCCTTCTATTACCTTTTTTGGAAACCCTTTAAATGTGAATGCATATGTTAGTGCTTGTAACTGGAGATAGAGATCAAGAATAAAGGACTGAGAAATTGACTTCAAGACAAATCTTTCAAAGTATGATTATCATTTTAGGATACAATCAATGTCTATTTACAAAAAGTACCACTGAAAACAAGGTCATAACAGCATGACAAACTAAATATGAAAGAGAGGTGAAGGTGTGTATGGGAGGAGAGGAGGACCCACGTTTCTTTGGTCGGGTGGTCCACATGGAGCTTCGTGCGTTGGGGGTGTAGGGTGGCTCAATCAGGTGGCCAGCACCCAGGTATGACAGGCGGGTGAACAGGTGGGATCTACCAGCATCTTTAAGCTTCTTCTCAATCTGAAAACCAAGGAGATACAGTGGGGAAAAAAAGTATTTAGTCAGCCACCAATTGTGTAGGTTCTCCCACTTAAAAAGATGAGAGAGGCTTGTAATTTTCATCATAGGTACACGTCAACTATGACAGACAAATTGAGAATTTTTTTCCCAGAAAATCACATTGTAGGATTTTTTATGAATTTATTTGCAAATTATGGTGGAAAATAAGTATTTGGTCACCTACAAACAAGCAAGATTTCTGGCTCACACAGACCTGTAACTTCTTCTTTAAGAGGCTCCTCTATCCTCCACTCGTTACCTGTATTAATGGCACCTGTTTGAACTTGTTATCAGTATAAAAGACACCTGTCCACAACCTCAAACAGTCACACTCCAAACTCCACTATGGCCAAGACCAAAGAGCTGTCAAAGGACACCAGAAACAAAATTGTAGACCTGCACCAGGCTGGGAAGACTGAATCTGCAATAGGTAAGCAGCTTGGTTTGAAGAAATCAACTGTGGGAGCAATTATTAGGAAATGGAAGACATACAAGACCACTGATAATCTCCCTCGATCTGGGGATCCACGCAAGATCTCACCCCGTGGGGTCAAAATGATCACAAGAACGGTGAGCAAAAATCCCAGAACCACACGGGGGGACCTAGTGAATGACCTGCAGAGAGCTGGGACCAAAGTAACAAAGCCTACCATCAGTAACACACTACGCCGCCAGGGACTCAAATCCTGCAGTGCCAGACGTGTCCCCCTGCTTATGCCAGTACATGTCCAGGCCCGTCTGAAGTTTGCTAGAGTGCATTTGGATGATCCAGAAGAGGATTGGGAGAATGTCATATGGTCAGATGAAACCAAAATATAACTTTTTGGTAAAAACTCAACTCGTCGTGTTTGGAGGACAAAGAATGCTGAGTTGCATCCAAAGAACACCATACCTACTGTGAAGCATGGGGGTGGAAACATCATGCTTTGGGGCTGTTTTTCTGCAAAGGGACCAGGACGACTGATCCGTGTAAAGGAAAGAATGAATGGGGCCATATATCGTGAGATTTTGAGTGAAAACCTCCTTCCATCAGCAAGGGCATTGAAGATGAAACGTGGCTGGGTCTTTCAGCATGACAATGATCCCAAACACACCGCCTGGGCAACGAAGGAGTGGCTTCGTAAGAAGCATTTCAAGGTCCTGGAGTGGCCTAGCCAGTCTCCAGATCTCAACCCCATAGAAAATCTTTGAAGGGAGTTGAAAGTCTGTGTTGCCCAGCGACAGCCCCAAAACATCACTGCTCTAGAGGAGATCTGCATGGAGGAATGGACCAAAATACCAGCAACAGTGTGTGAAAACCTTGTGAAGACTTACAGAAAACGTTTGACCTGTGTCATTGCCAACAAAGGGTATATAACAAAGTATTGAGAAACTTTTGTTATTGACCAAATACTTATTTTCCACCATAATTTGCTAATAAATTCATTAAAAATCCTACAATGTGATTTTCTGGATTTATTTTTCTCATTTTGTCTGTCATAGTTGACATGTACCTATGATGAAAATTACAGGCCTCTCTCATCTTTTTAAGTGGGAGAACTTGCACAATTGGTGGCTGACTAAATACTTTTTTTCCCCACTGTATACAGTATGTTAATTCAACTGTTCACGACATTTGGAAAAATTATTACTATCAGCAGCTATGACTAGGACACTAGCTATATACTACCATAGTATGGCATATTGTAGGTTTAATGGTAAGGACATCCCATGAAGTAGGCTTACCTCATCTGCGTTCTCAATAGCTGCACAGCTCAAGTCATCTTCACCCACAATGTACAGTAGGGGGCAACACAGGTTTTCAACCTGCACAGACAGAGGATATATGTGGTCCTCTGTAGCTCAATTGGTAGAGCATGGCGCTTGTAACGGCAGGGTAGTGGGTTCGATCCCCTAAACCCATACGTAAAAATGTATGCGCACATGACTAAGTTGCTTTGGATAAAAGCGTCTGCTAAATGGCTTATTATTATTATATAATTGTTGATGTAACCCTAGGAAACAAATTCTACATTAATTTCCACAAATACCACACAAGCTGCACAGGTACTCCTATACTATAAATAAAATGATATGATAACATAGAGTATGGTAACATTTTCTGTGCAGCTGGCTGGAGGGGGTTCTTGACCCCATCAACAACACTTGAGTGTCGTACCTTTGCTTTGTTCTCAGGTGGAATGTTGTTGGGCATGGACACTTCTCTGAAGCTGACGTAGCCCTGTTCATCATAACTCCAGTGCTTCTGATCCCTATAACATAACAATGGGTGGGATAAGAAAAGAGTAGCACCCCTCTCGACAATAACACAATATACTGAGAATTATCTAATTTTGTCCCTGTAAAGTCATCTTTCAGGCATACTATCATTTTCAAAACATCACAATACTTGAATATGTTAACTATATTTCAATATTGCTATAATGTTAAAAACAGTTCTTCAAAAGCTTATTTCTGTCCTATGTTTCCATGGTAACTAACCCTTCAAAGCTTTCGGTCTGGCCATCGCTGTCCGATAGTTTGTTGAAACTTCCTATTGGACCATTGACTCCTATCACACACCTGGGCTGAGACAAAGAAACTGAGTGAATGGAAATCCCAGGAATTTCTAATCAGATGCAATCCTACATGTAGACTCATATACAGTGAGCTCCAAAAGTATTGGGACAGTGACACATTTTTTGTTGTTTTGGCTCGGTACTCCAACACTTTGAATTTACATTTACATTACATTTTAGTCATTTAGAAGACCCTCTTATCCAGAGCTACTTACAGGAGCAATTAGGGTAAAGTGCTTTACTCAAGGCCACAGACAGATTTTTCACCTAGTCGGCTCGGGGATTCGAACCAGCCACTTTTCGGTTACTGGCCCAACGCGCTTAACAATTATTTACAATAAAAGTGACTCCAAAATGACACAATACCTTATTTACCATTAATTTATATTGGGCACAAAATAATCTCAAACACAACCAAAACAAACAGCAAATCATCCAACAAGTTTGTAGGGTCACAAGCTTGATGTAATCATTGCGTGCTAGGAATATGGGACCAAATACTAAACTTTTGATCACATATAAGTGAATTTGTCCCAATATATTTTGTCCCCTAAAATGGGGAGACTATGTACAAAAAGTGCTGTAATTTCTAAAAGGTTTACCCAATATGGATGAGTGCAGACTGTCAACTTAAAGCTGACAGTCTGCACTTTAACCTCAGTCATTGTATCCGTTTAAATCCAAAGTACTGGAGTACAGAGCCAAAACAACTAAAAACGTGTCACTGTCCCAATTCTTTTGGAGCTCACTGTAACTCATCATACTCATGACATAGGTCTTCATATTTGTATGTAACCTTTATTCTCGACTTTCTCTTTTACCCAAATTCTGGTCATTCCACCTCAGACTACATATTTGGAAGGCTAATCGTTGTTTGATGACTGGTATGGAATAATCCAGATGACTGCTTCAGGGGGTTGTATGGCCAGACTTACATTGACACCAATCTGAGTGGCGATTCGCAGAGCCAGGTAGACTCCGAACGAGAGGCCAATGATCCCCAGCCTGTCCCCACACACCTGGGGGTGGTCCTGGAGAAACTGGAATGCAGCCTTTCAACGCCCATTGAGAAAAAAAGGAGGAAAGATAATTTTGCTGAGGTGCCAGAATGTTATGTTCATACAGGGGTGTATTACCTAGCTACTTTGAAACCTAGCACTACCTAGGGCTGTTACGGAGACCGTATTGCCGCCACATCGGCAGTCACGAGTCCTAACCGCAGTCAAATTCCACGTGACCATTGAGTCACGGTAACTAGGCTTCTCCAACACTGCGCGCTGATGCCGCTGATGGTCATTAGTAGCCTATCAAACTTACTAACTGCCAGTCGCTATTGGCCGGTACTCAGCGCTCTATTGTTCCCTCTAATCACGCTGACATCAATGCAAATGCAATCGAAAACCAAATCAAACTCTTCATGAGAGCCCTGGCATTCAGAGTTTGAGCGGAATAGGATCACCTGTTGCACAGCGAGAGCCAGCTCTTCATAGCTGGTTGATGCATGGAATTAAATGTGTTCCTATAAGCCCATGTTGTGCTACATTTCTATAGGCTAAGCACTACCCCCTTATTACCTTAAAGTAGGCATCTCCCACATTGATAGTGTTGAGTGGACCAGGGATGTCTTTGTGGCCAAAGTAGGCCAGGGAGAGACTGGCAAATCCCCGGGAAGCAAACAAGGCTGAGCGGTACTCTATCAGCCCCCCGCCCATACCCCACAGGTCCACCATGGCTGGGAATGGACCTGGACCTATGGAGGCAACAAAAGAGGACACCACAACACCCTCAGTATTGGAATAAAGCCTCAGTCATAATAGTTTGTGTAAAGATACTCTGTAATCTTGTGTTATAATCTAAGATTCTAAATGTGATTTGATATGTACAATTTATCAAAGCAATCACCCTTTTCCCTCAGACCTAGTTCTTACCTGGGGGTAAGAACAAGGTCCCCACTACTCCATTCTGCCGAATTTCTATTCTCCGGACGCCTGGTGCCATGTACCAGCGTTCCACAGTCACTGCAGCCAGCTCCTGTTCCCCTCTCTGCCACTGCTCCTTGTTGGAACCCTCACTGGGTGGAACCGGAATATGACCCTCTAATAAGGACAACTGTACTGAGTACGGAGTCTCAACGTTTTTCTTCCGAAGCCTGTGGGAAAATGTACAGATGAAACTGTCACTATCATGGCCTTTGTATACAAACCCCAACACTGTATCGCGATAACTCCTGGCCCATAGACTACTTTGAAAATAAGGAAATAGGGTGATTCCTCACAAAACTAGAACAAAAAAAGACCAAGGGTCCTTTGGACGTAGTTTACAAATACAGAAAAATTTGCCAAATCTAAAATGTTATATTTTGTATATTAATGTTGTGGTCCTCTGTAGCTCAATTGGTAGAGCATGGTGCTTGTAACGCCAGGGTAGTGGGTTCGAACCCCGGGACCACCCATACGTAAAAATGTATGCACACATGACTGTAAGTCGCTTTGGATAAAAGCGTCTGCTAAATGGCATATTATTATTATTATATTTTTCTATATTCATAAATGTGTAAGAGCGTCTGCTAAATGACTAAAATGTAAATGTAAATGTTATTGAAATCAAAATACTACTCATATTACAGAGTATGCAGTAAAGCTTCATGTGACACCAGCTTTGTAGCACCTACAGAAAGGCCAAAAATTCACAAAAATTCCAACTACAACTAATTATTTCTCAATTATGCTTTAAGATACAAATATTAAATATATGTCAACATTCCATCCTCCAAAGGACCCTTCTATGGATTACATTTAATGAAAATCCCCAAAATCATGGTCTTTTTTTGTTCTAGTTTTGTGAGGAATCACCCAATATATACGTAATTTTATAATTTTGATGAACTATCCCTTTTAAAAATATTTAGTGTTGATTGACTTCGTTGAACAATAGCATTTGTCTCTGAATCATATTCAATGTGACCATAGCTTCGCGTGCTTTTTTAGTTATATTCCCTGTTGCTACCTCAGACCCTCTCTCTCTCCAGGTGCAGGCTGCAGGGCCCAAAACAGTCCCATGGGCTCACAGCCCACATAGGAACCCCCTACAGACTCATCTGTGGTCACTGTGAGAAGAAGAGGGTTAGGGGAGGAAGAGAGAGAGAGAGAGAGAGAGTAAATAGAGAGACGGAGAGGGTGAGATAGTCTAAGATTACAAAATAATAGTTGTTGTTCAGACAAAACAATCTGCCATCCGAGATTCCTAGCTCCTGCATACTGTAGCCAGTGATCATATAAATATTGTTACTAATAATTCTACTACTAATATAAACTAGTAATTATATTTCTATGTCAGTGATGTGACTCAACTGTTGACGACACCCATCTCGTCTGTGTTGTAGTGAGAGAGCGCCTCCCATAGGTCACCGTCCTCGTTATGCATATAGGCGCGCACCGTGATAGGTGAGTGAGGGGGAAGGTGATGCCCCTCTAGGGTAATCGGCTCATCTATGAGAGCGCGGGTAGGCGTGGCTGTCAAAAAAGGTGCTGGGCTACAGTACGTCTTCCATCTCACTGGCCCTGAGAAGCACACCAAAACAACATGGGATCAGACAGGGGATTTTGCACTTTGTGCATTTTAGTTACAACGTAAAAGGACAAGATATAAGGAGGTAGAGTGTGGCTGCTTCATAGCCCTGGTGAGACACAGGTGCTTCAATAAATGGAAAATGTGGGAAAGACCAGGTAAAAGAAAGATAGTCACATAGAACAAAATCATCTCTATTGACAAGGACAAAAGTTTGGTCAATGTAATGTGCTTTCAGAGGGATATGACGTATTTAATCCATCCATTCCTTACCCACTGCACTTTGCACACATGCTATCTTCCTGCAGATGTTGACCCATCGAAGCACAAACGTGCCTGAGCGATGACATAGTGCCGACACACACATGCGTGCTCTAAGCATGCTGGTCTGTCAGTACTCCCTGTGTAGAGAATAACATTGTGCAATGGTCAAACATACACATGAGAATATGAAATATTGTTAAGTGTTTGTGAGAGTTTTTGTTGTCTAATGCTGTGTTCATAACCAAGTAGGAAGGTGGTATATACCACATACGACTGGAAAAAATCCACATGAACGCCCCTCCAACTGGTAATTACTAGTGTGAAACTTGTCTATCATCCCTGAGCTCTGACTTCTCCCACATGCTGACCTTTGACATCACCTACTAAGGAAATGACCTCGATAACAGGCTTTTCGGCAGTTAAATGCAATAACAAAACATTATTTATAAAAAAGCAATCTATTTATATTTTTTAACACTATAATTTGTTTACAAGCATGATAGCTGTACTTTTAGTTTATGGTTGAAGCAGCTTGTTGTCCATTAGCCAATCTGCGTTTCTTAATGAGTCCAAAGCAGGTGAATGCATCCAACTGGTATTTAGGACTTCACAACTAGTATTTACCACATTCCCACTTGCTTATGAACACAGCATTACCCCTAGTATAGGGTAACCAGACGTCCCCAAGGACAGTCCCCGATTTTGTTGGCCTGTCCCCGGCTGGAGCTGTCCACGATTAGCCCTCAAACAGAAAAACGCAACTGTAAAGTTAAATTGAGGTTTAAATGTCAATAATCAAACGCGGTACCTAATCATATTAGCATGTAAAAATGATGTCTATCCCTGTACCAAACTCGTTTGCTCCCGCAGACCTTCTATGAGAACGTTTGATCAGTGCCACATTGTGACCACCACATGAACAACCATGCGCGGCCATATGTGCATCCAACAGCATACCAAACTTGGGTCATTCTAAAATTACTAGATAGGCTAAGATTGATAAAACTGTGGAAGGGTAATCAATTTATGTGTTATAATGAATTAAAGTAGCCTGTTTGAAAAGCGATAATTGATAGTTAAATATAGTTCAATGCTTTTTTTATTTATTGCGAAGCTACCTCCCACCTCCCTCCACCCCCCCCACCCCCCCCCCCCCCCCCCCCCCCACTCTAAAAAAAATGACTCCCCGATTTTCATTTCCAAAATTGATCTGGTCACCTTACCCTTGTAGCCTGGTATTGAAGTAATGTGAGGTCAGTCTATTCTTCAGCCCATTATTGACAAGATTTCTCTAGTTCAAGCTACTTCTTTTCCCTCTGCCAGATATTGACCTTCAACCTCCATTTACCAGATACTGACCTTCAACCTCTATTTTGTGTAACGTGGCGACTTCCTATGCCAATGCAGTCACTATTTCAGGAGTTAACTTTTTACTACAGTAGAGTTCTTTGCCTTATGAGAGGTTCAAACTGCGACTGTGTCTTCAGTCATTCATGAGTGGACCAAAGTCAGACATGGTGAATGAATAGCCCAGGGGTCTCCAACAGGTCGATCGCGACAGTAGCTCGCCCAACAATTCTGAAAGTACATGCAATTTTCACGTCTTCCACCGCAAACGGTCATAAAAAAATCTCACAACTATCAGACACCTCAAGCTACCAGATACTATTTAATCAACGCAACCTTGACATTATCCCATCCCTGGTTAGCCACTATTGGCTTATCAAGCTAAACCTAACACAATATCTACCAATTAATTTCCAGCAATATTGCCCCTGTCTGTCTGTGTGGTGCGCGCGTTTGTCTATCACTCCGTGTGTAGCCAATTGACGTGATAACTGTCTTGTGGGTTGACAGAAATACTTTCCCCAAAACCTTCTCAATTAAATGTTAACTGCAAAGTAGGCTTACCTGGCAGAAGTATATCATGAGTAAGTATGTAATTTGTATCTATTATTTGTTATTTGCAAACTTTGCCATGAAATGAGCAACAGCAGTACAGAGACCCGAACATTAAAACGGTACATTCCTGCACAATTAAAGGGCCAGAGGCGCAATTAAAGGGAAATTACACTCAAAAATCCAAATTTGTTAAGTGTTCTTCCAGATCTAAACATGGACCCAGAACATTCAATTTCGTTGTTTCTCTATTAACAATGATAATATTGAGAGTGAAAAACGTTAAAAAAAATCTAAAACCAGGATTTTTTTACTGAGAAAACATAATTTGGGAAAATATAAAACAGAAGAATTTGGGAGAAAAAAAACATATTTTATAGGGCCACCCTTTGGTTTATTAACCATTATTTTACCAGGTAAATTGACAGAAACCATAGTGCGCTACATTCTCTTGTACACTAAGGACCCGGGGAAGAGTTGCAGGGGAGAGAAGAGAAGAATGTGTCTTTTTGAAGGTAGAAAAAAATGAGTAGCTCCCTAAATGTTACATTTGTTTTAAGTAGCTCTCATGCTAGAAAAGGTTGGAGACCCCTGGAATAGCCTATAATGCAGATGTGCAGTGATGGATAGGTTTAGTAACAGCTTTCATTCTTACCCTTTTAATTTTGTAATGGGATTACGCTGAGACTCCGACTACATTGAACAATTTACACAGTAAATAAAACATTAAAACATTTACTGGAAAAACTGTGCAGATGCAAAGTTTGATAAACATTTTATCTGCACAGTTCTTCCTCTAAATGTGTTTTTGTAAAATGTTCAGTGGAAATTGTTAAAAGTAGTACTTATGCACAGAGTTGTATGGTTTGTTACACTTTGAAATCAATGGTTTTTGTATGGTATACATTTTAACTTAAACATCTGAGTCTCAGCGTAATTCCTTTACCATGGGATTGCCCACTGCCTGTGAGAGGAGTGAGAGAGAAGTGAGCAAAGCATTTAGAGACTGGTAATTGTTTGAAAACGTTTATATGGCATTGTCTTAGATACCTACTTCCTATTTTTCATATGCACGGCTGTTGGCAAAGTGTTGACTGCTGGCAACTTTCATTTTTCTTGGGCGTCCACCTGGCCAGGCAAACTTTCAGGGCCCGTCCAGTGAAGAAGTGGGAGAAAATGAGGAAAGAAACGTGAGATCTAGGACTTTCTGTCAAAATAAAAGTATCAGAAGACTGAAATACAATACTGCAACTTGTAAAGGCCTTAAAACAAAATGTTAACATCAGAAGTATTAATTTCTGCACCCAAAATCAGTGAAATAACCTTTTATTCCACATGTTCATTTATTTTTCAAAAAGCCGGATTTCCCTTCACATTCCCGATACAACATACTTTTATTTTGAAATGAATGGTTTCTAGGTAAATCACTTCTGGGTCGAATTTGGCGCTGTTGCTGTTTCCACTTTTCTGTTATTCGTCATCAGCTCCACGTTATCTGGTAGCTTTATCGTGGCATTTAATGTGTTGTACTTTTGGATATCTCACTACCAAACACCCCGACTCGATATTGAATATCAGCAAAAGTTAAGGTAGACTACGCTTTGTAAACTCAATAACAATAACTGCTGCTAACAAGTTACTAGCTAGGTAGCTAGATGTCATCAACCAGTTGTTGACGTACCTCGCAAGCTAGCTACCAAGCTAATCTAATTAGCCAGTCAGCTAATGTCGGCCAGATATCAAAGTTGTCAGGTAGCTAGATTTTTTCAAAAGAGGACATTTGAGTTTGGTTGTAATATTAGCTAATTTGCTAAGTTAACTATGTCACAAAGCTAGATAACTAGCTAGCTAGTTAGTCGGCAAGTAGGCCTAGCAACGTTGTTAGCCTAACGTTAGCTAACTAGCTAGCTAACTAACTTGAATAATGCTTATAACAGAACAGCTTATAGCTAGGTTGTTAGGTCATCATGTACTAACTAACTCTACTAGAATGGACCAGTGAAATGTCTACAATTTCAGGTTTTGAATCACTGACACCCCCTATACATCAGAGGAGTAGCCCCTACCTTTCATATACATCAGAGGAGTAGACCCTACCTTTCAGCTGTTTGGTGGTCCCTGTGTTCCCTTCTAAAGCTTTGGAATGGGCAGTCATTTCCGCAGCTACATCTGGGACCCGGTCCTGATTTTGTCCCAGATTGTGTTGATGCAATGCATCTACTACAGCTTCCTGGGTCTGTGGCTGGCTGGAGTGGACAGTCTTGTACAAACCAACAGATCACTGGACCAGATCTTCAGTTATGAGGTGAGTCTTCCTGGAATGTTTCCTATATTTTCCTAATTCTTCTCTGTTGAGTTGACAGTGGTCTGATTCACAACATGGCTCTATGCTTGCAGGTTCTTGGATTTGCAACGATGCAGGGCAGACTCTCAATGATGGCATTCATCTTAAACTCACTTACCTGGTAAGTGAATGGGCCTACTTCGAGTGCTGCACGTTCCCTCAACACTTTGGTATGAAGAAATCTAGTCATATACCAATGATGAAAGGCTGGTTTGTTATGAGGTCAATAATCCATGATGCTCTATAGTAGATGATAATCTTAACGTTTGGTAAATTTTGCCTAACTACGAGCTGTGAATCAAAAACTATCATAACATTTACACACACACAAACACTTCTGTTGAATGACCAACCTGTTTTGTGGCATGTTGTCCTTCATCGTGCATCTGTCTCGCTGTTTCGTCAGTGCCCTGGGCCTGTGGTTCTTCATCCGCCGAGGGAAGCAGTGTCTGGACTTCACTGTCACCGTGCACTTCTTCCACATGATAGGCTGTTGGATCTACAACGCCCACCTCCCGGCGGCCCTGTCCTGGTGGCTGGTCAACGTGGCCTGCATGGCTCTGATGGCTGTGATTGGAGAGTACCTGTGCATGCGGACTGAGCTCAGGGCCATCCCAGTCAACAGTGGACCTAAGTCTAACCTTTGACCTCTGACCTCCACCTGACCCCACTCTGTGACTCTGGCTCACTCCCTGTGAACTGTTCACCGACAGTAATCTGCCCAGTATGATGTGGGGTATGACATTTGTGCCCAAAGACTTGGTGGGACTGGGAAGCAAGCTGCAATAAAGCAGTAGTTGGATGTAGAGACAGAGATGTGCCAAATTGGAACGTTGCACACCTCTCAGTGGATCCAAGGACTTGGAGATTAACTGAAATGGTGCTGGTTGCTGTATTTATTTGTAAACATGTACTACCTGTCTAACAGTGAATGCTAACTTCTTCCTCGACCCACTAAGATATCACTTGCTTTGAGACAGTTCGAAGCAGAGTTTAGTTTGTCTTACAAAGATCTTAATGGTTTCATGATTTTATTAAATGATGATGATATTCACATAATGATTGTGGCGAAATGGTTGTCATGCACATGCTTTTGGTTATGTCCTTTCCAGTTGAGAAAAATAACAACAATAACAAACTAGTCATACATGTAAATAACAGATCACCACATATGGAATTATATTTTATTCCTCATTATAGTTTGTGAGCTTGAGGGGTGAAAGGAATCAGCAATGGTCATCCATATCTCAACATTATGAAGTTAACATGACAACGCTATGGGAGCAGCAATAATCTGATAATCATTCATCGCTTAGCATGATCATATTGGTTTTAAAGTGTTGTGTGTATATGATGTGATGCTGTGGAGAGCAGATGGCCCCTCTAGGGATGGTCTGTCAGCCACCAGCTGTGTTCTGACAGGATGCTGTCACTGTGTGTGTGCCTGTGTGCTCGATGGTGCAGTGACTGCCGTCTATGGTCAAATTATACGTAAACCTACCTTAGTAAGCATGCTTAGTGCTCCTGGTTCTCTGCTGATTTTCAATGCAATTTCTCTTCTCTCATAGTCTGAAAAGCATTTTACAAATAATAGGCTATGTCAGGACCTTCTCTTCACATCACAGATTTGACTAATGTGTGACCTTAACATATACTCTGAGATTGTCTGGGATGGTTTTTCTCTCATTTTAAATTTAATGAAATCATAATTGCCTGCAGTATTGTAGATGCATTTGTTGAAAATGAGCTCTTGTTGTGGGATTAATCTATCAGCAGAGAACCAGGAGCACTCAAGGTCTAAGGCACTGCATCGCAGTGCTAGCTGTGCCACTAGAGATCCTGGTTCGAATCCAGGCTCTGCTGTAGCCGGCCGCAACCGGGAGACCAATGGGGCGGCGTACAATTGGCCCAGCGTCGTCCAGGGTAGGGGAGGGAATGGCCGGCAGGGAGGTAGCTCAGTTGGTAGAGCATGGCGTTTGCAACACCAGGGTTGTGGGTTCGATTCCCACGGGGGGCCAGTATGAAAATAAAAAAGAATAATGTATGCACTAACTGTAAGTCGCTCTGGATAAGAGCGTCTGCTAAATGACGTAAATGTAAAAATTAATGTACTAGGCTAGATTATAAGCACTCAGGAAAGTCATGGTTCAGCTAATTTTCTTGGACTTTGTAAGGATTCTCTGTAAGTAAGTGCAATGCTGTAGTTTCCACTTCTTGCATCACTGGAACCATGTTAAGATTGTCTTCCATCAATAAGATAGATCTGAATATTCAGTCATTCATTACTTGTCATCAGATTTCTATCCACCAGAGCATTACTTGACAGTGCAGGAAGAAGTTACTTGCTGCAACATGCAATACAGACCTACAGTTGAAGTCGGAAGTTTACATACACTTAGGTTTGAGTAATTAAAACTCATTTTTCAACCACTCCACAAATTTCTTGTTAACAAACTATAGTTTTGGCAAGTCGGTTAGGACATCTACTTTGTGCTTGACACAAGTAATTTTTCCAACAATTCTTTACAGACAGATTATTTCATGTATAATTCACTGTATCACAATTCCAGTGGATCAGAGGTTTACATACACTAAATTGACTGTGCCTTTAAACAGCTTGGGAAAATTCCAGAAAATGATGTCATGGAGGTGTACCTGTGGATGTATTTCAAGGCCTACCTTTGCTTGACATCATAGGGAAATCAAAAGAAATCAGCCAAGACCTCAGAAAAATAATTGTAGACCTCCACAAGTCTGGTTCATCCTTGGGAGCAATTTCCAAATGCCTGAAGGTACCACGTTCATCTGTACAAACAATAGTACGCAAGTATAAACACCATGGGACCACGCAGCCATCATACCGCTCAGGAAGGAGACGCGTTCTGTCTCCTAGAGATGAACGTAGTTTGGTGCGAAAAGTGCAAATCAATCCCAGAACAACAGCAAAGGACCTTGTGAAGATACTGGAGGAAAGTATCTATATCCACAGTAAAACAAGTCATACATCGACACAACCGGAAAGGCCGCTCGGCAAGGAAGAAGCCACTGCTCCAAAACCGCCATAAAAAAGCCAGACTACGGTTTGAAACTGCACATGGGGACAAAGATCTTACTTTTTGGAGAAATGTCCTCTGGTCTGATGAAACAAAAATATAACTGTTTGGCCATAATGACCATCGTAATGTTTGGAGGAAAAAGGGGGTAACTTGCAAGCCGAAGAACACCATCCCAACCGTGAAGCGCAGGGGGTGGCAGCATCATGCTGTGGTGGTGCTTTGATGCAGGAGGGACTGGTGCACTTCACAAAATAAATGGCATCATGAGGAAGGAAAATTATGTGGATATATTGAAGCAACATCTCAAGACATCAGTCAGGAAGTTAAAGCTTGGTCACAAATGGGTCTTCCAAATGGACAATAACCCAAAGCATACTTCCAAAGTTGTGGCAAAATGTCTTAAGGACAACAAAGTCAAGGTATTGGAGTGGCCATCACAAAGCCCTGACCTCAATCCTATAGAAAATTTGTGGGCAGAACTGAAAAAGCGTGTGTGAGCAAGGAGGCCTACCAACCTGACTCAGTTACACCAGCTCTGTCAGGAGGAATGGGCCAAAATTCACCCAACTTATTGTGGGAAGCTTGTGGAAGGCTACCTGAAACGTTTGACCCAAGTTAAACAATTTAAAGGCAATGCTACCAAATCCTAATTGAGTGTATGTAAACTTCTGACCCACTGGGAATGTGATGAAATAAATAAAAGCTGAAACAAATAATTATCTCTACTATTATTCTGACATTTCACATTCTTAAAATAAAGTGGTGATCCTAACTGACCTAAGACAGGGAATTGTTACTAGGATTAAATGTCAGGAATTGTGAAAAACTGAGTTGAAATGTATTTGGCTAAGGTGTATGTAAACTTCCGACTTCAACTGTACTTTCTTATTAAGTGCATTATCATTGACACAGAAGAAGTGATTGTGTGCATTGTGATGTGGGACATTGTGGGTGATGAAAACTGGACTGTAGAAATGTCAGTGACGGAGGAGGCAACATAATGAGAGGCTTACACCACCACCACACATGGATGTTAGCCTCCCATGGGGGAGTCCTGGGGTTCCTGCTGCACCCTCTGCCTCTCCCCCCACGCCCTGTGGCCAGGTGGGGGAGAACAGATGGTAGCCCACTAACAAGCGGCTGACTGCCGGCTAGGCTGTTCCATACTGGATCCAGTCCTCATTATTAGCACCTTGCCATGAGGACGACAAAAAAAAAAACATGGTGCAGGGGACAGGCATCATATCAACAAAAAGTGTCTTGTGCCTAGAATCTATCCTCTATAACTGTGATAGAGCATATACTGAGTAGGAGCAAGTATGATCTTGATCTAGTAGATCCCTCTGTGGTCATGCAGGTATAAACAGAATAATATGTCATATTTCCAAACTTGATACTTTATTATTTCAAACACATTACTTTGCAATACAGTACTTAATACAATACTTAATGTAGTCTGTAGTTGGCATCTCTGAAAGACCACATACATATTGACATCTTAGTTTTTCCTGATGTAGGCCTATTTTTCTCTGCAGTAATTCTTTCAATAATCAGTCATACATATTGATATACTTAGTGTTTATGATATCTCCCTTTAATAATGTGATATTTTTCATGCTTTCGTTAGCTGCCGATCTCACGGAAATGGAAAGTAGTCGCTACCTCAAGTGTTTACCATACATATTGCTCATGCTTTGTGAATAGCACAACTCACAACTCTGTTTTTATTTTTAAATCGTTTTTGGACTCTTGCCACCAGGCACACAGATTGGGTGACAGAATGCTACCACAATCAGGAGCACAGACTAGGTGTGGAGGACAACCAGTACAAACATGCTGACAGAGGATAGGATGTCTCTTGGGAATGGATTTTAAACTGAATATCTAACCTAATATCTAGACACAACCATGCAGAGAGAGATCCATTCATACTATAGGTACTGTTGGAAGGGTACAAAAAAATGCATTGTTGGTTAAGGGCTTGTAAGTAAGCATTTCACTGTAATGTCTACATCTGTTTTATTTGGCGCATGTGGCAAATACAATTTGATTTGATTTGATTTGAAGAAAACAAGAACAATGTCCTGTGTGGGCTGAAGCAGTATGTGAATATTTTGACATGCTCTCTCTAGGTCAAATCCTAATTTGAGATACATGGATGTAGCTTTAGTTTAGGCGTAAATCATGCATTGTTATCAATGAGAGATTTGCACAAAAGTCTCAGCACCAAGGCCCCGATTCCGACCCAAGTTAAGCGTGCGTAAATGTAACGTAATTCTCGTTTCATGCGCTTTTCTCTTTATGCATATTCTGACCTTGAATTTAAGCATGATAATAGTACGCTATTCACCCACTATTCGTTTGAGATGGAGCTCGAATAAATGAAGGTGTGTCTACAGATACGTCGTATTCTGACCTTGACTTAATTCCACCACCTTAATGCGCGAGGAAATCATGAATAAGGTCGAGCTAACCTGACAGTTCCAAGTGGAAAAAGCATCTACTTTATTTTTTCCAATATAAAAACAGCATTCTGCATGCACTGTAATTTATATATTGTTAAGAGCTATTAATAAAAGCTAGGTAAATGAGTAATCCGTTTGGAGAAGGGGATTGTAAATACACATGGCAGTTGTTTTGGATAATATCTTCTTATGATCCCTGGAGACAAACGTGAAACCAGCCATATGGAAGCAAACTGAAAATCATATCAACATGACATGTATTGCGGCCCCTTTAACAAAGTGCAATAGGCCAAAACAATTGCTGTGTCATTATTCAGAATTGTAATTGTGTGCCCTCATAATTTGCATTGATGAAATTTGGAGACCATAGCTTATAGGCTTCTGTAGAGCTGAACCTGCCGAGTTGATGTATGCGCTTTAGAATGTTCTGATGATATGCCCACGAGAAAATATGGTGGCCAGCAAGTGGGAGGGTTTTACATTTATTCAGAGTGCGCAAGGTAGCCACACCTGCAGAGCGCGTTACGTGACTGAATAATGTAGTCTGAATATACTGGGAAGTGCGTAGGAAAGGCATACATTCCTAAGTCAGGATTCACCCCCCATTGCCTATTCAGTATGAGCGCAGTAAAGGAGAAGCTATACAATAACACTACATGTTGCTACATTTTATATTTATATTGACTCAGTTTGATGATATACAGTTAAAGTCGGAAGTTTACATACACTTAGGTTGGAGTCATTAAAACTTGTTTTTCAACCACTCCACACATTTCTTGTTAACAAACTATAGTTTTGGCAAGTCGGTTAGGACATCTACTTTGTGCATGACACAAGTAATTTTTCCAACAATTGTTTACAGACAGATTATTTCACTTATAATTCACTGTATCACAATTCCTTTGGGTCAGAAGTTTACATACTCTAAGTTGACTGTGCCTTTAAACAGCTTGGAAAATTCCAGAAAACGATGTCATGGCTTTAAAAGCTTCTGATAGGCTAATTGACATCATTTGAGTCAATTGGAGGTGTACCTGTGGATGTATTTCAAGGCCTACCTTCAAACTCAGTGCCTCTTTGCTTGACATAATCGGAAAATCAAAAGAAATCAGCCAAGACCTCAGAAAAAACCTCCACAAGTCTGGTTCATCCTTGGGAGCAATTTCCAAACACCTGAAGGTACCACGTTTATCTGTACAAACACTAGTACGCAAGTATGACTCTCGAGTGGCGCAGTGGTCTAAGGCACTGCATCGCAGTGGTAGCTGTGCCACTAGAGATCCTGGTTCGAGTCCAGGCTCTGTCGCAGCCGGCCGCGACCGGGAGACCCATGGGCGGCGCACAATTGGTCCAGCGTCGTCCAAGGTAGGGGAGGGTTTGGCTGGTAGGGATGTGGGTTCGTTTCCCACGGGGGGCCAGTATGAAAAAAATTAAAAATAAATACATGTATGCATTCACTAACTGAAAGTTGCTTTGGATAAGAGCGTCTGCTAAATGACTAAAATGTAAAACGTAAGTATAAACACCATGGGACCACGCAGCCGTCATACCGCTCAGGAAGGAGACGCGTTCTGTCTCCTAGAGATGAACGTAGTTTGGTGTGAAAAGTGCAAATCAATCCCAGAACAACAGCAAAGGACCTTGTGAAGATACTGGAGGAAACAGGTACAAAAGTATCTATATCCACAGTAAAACGAGTCCTATATCGACATAACCTGAAAGGCCGCTCAGCAAGGAAGAAGCCACTGCTCCAAAACCGCCATAAAAAAGCCAGACTACGGTTTGCAACTGCACATGGGGACAAAGATTGTACTTTTTGGAGAAATGTCCTCTGGTCTGATGAAACAAAAATATAACTGTTTGGCCATAATGACCATCGTTATGTTTGGAGGAAAAAGGGGGTTGCTTGCAAGCCAAAGAACACCATCCCCACCGTGAAGCACGGGGGTGGCAGTATCATGCTATGGGGGTGCTTTGCTACAGGAGGGACTGGTGCACTTCACAAAATAGATGGCATCATGAGGAAGGAAAATTATGTGGATATATTGAAGCAACATCTCAAGACATCAGTCAGGAAGTTAAAGCTTGGTCACAAATGGGTCTTCCAAATGGACATTGACCCAAAGCATACTTCCAAAGTTGTGGCAAAATGTCTTAAGGACAACAAAGTCAAGGTATTGGAGTGGCCATCACAAAGCCCTGACCTCAATCCTATAGAACATTTGTGGGCAGAACTGAAAAGGCGTGTGCGAGCAAGGAGGCCTACAAACCTGACTCAGTTACACCAGCTCTGTCAGGAGGAATGGGCCAAAATTCACCCAACTTATTGTGGGAAGCTTGTGGAAGGCTACCCAAAACGTTTGCCCAAGTTAAACAATTTAAAGGCAATGCTACCAAATACTAATTGAGTGTATGTAAACTTCTGACTCACTGGGAATGTGATGAAAGAAATAAAAGCTGAAATAAATCATTCTCTCTACTATTACTCTGACATTTCACATTCTTAAAATAAATTGGTGATCCTAACTGACCAAAGACAGGATTTTTTTATTGAGTTTAAATGTATTTGGCTAAGGTGTATGTAAACTTCCGACTTCAACTGTATTACAGCTGTTGACAAAATCAAATACTGTAATGCATTGAGGCATTAGGGCTAACAATGCAGGGTGGTGCCCTATGAGAATCCTATGACTTAAGTCCAATATATTTTAGCTTCCATAATAAAGTGAATATTTGTGGCATTACCTCATCTTTATTTCTACTCAGTATGCTGTGTGTTTTGTGTAAAGGTGAATGTGCTTTGAAGTGAACTATGTACAATTGTGTATTGTTGTGGAGTCAATGATATAAAATAAATTGACAGCCAAACACTTGGACTTCCATACAAGACACAGGTTCATAAAACAACACTGAACATTCTCACATAACCAGCGACCATTTTCAGGTACAATAACTAGTTGGCAAGAGAGAAACTAACTAGACTGTTGTGCTTCATCCACAATTACTAACAATAAATTAGGCATTTTACTGTAAGGTGCATAATAAAGCAAGGAATTATATTTTCAGTTAAGAGCATTAGCTACCTCAACAATTTTTTACAATATTTTCAGTTAAGAGCATTACCTGACTTTAACAGCACCTACTGTCTAACAGGATGACCAAAGAAACAGTTTAACAGAGCATAAATATAGAAAATACCTTTTTGGTGTCATTATAGCAGCCATGCAACTCCAACCATATGGGGCTGGTGTGTAGTGGTCAAAAGGTCATTGTTTATATAGAATTCACTTGATTGTCAACAAAACCGACCAATTGCTTTAAAATTGCTTTTTTTCATAGGCGTATACTGTTGTAGGTAATTTCATTACAATTGCTTGGGTCTTGGGTGTTTATGTTTACCCAGACTCATAGATATTGATGACATTAACATCTAAGGCCCTGATAACATAACCCTATATTTACCTAGTGCCATAGACATCTATGGTGGGTAACCCAGAGCTATAGGTATCCATCCATCTCTCCATAGACATCAATGGCTCTGTGATATCATAGCCTTCTGATTACCCAGTACTATAGATATCTATGGTGTCTCCATAGAGACTTGGCTCTGTGTGCTAACCTAATCTTCGATCCATATCCCCTCTCTACTCACTGATCTTCTCTCTACTCACCCCACCTCGGGGATTGTGAGAGCGCATGGGGGTGGGAGCGAGGAGGAGGAGGGAGGCATCCCCCACCTATGTGGAGGGCCAGATGGGCCCTCCCAGGATCAGCAAGCCCAGGAGCAGCAGGGGTAGAGGCGAGCGCAGGCTGGGGGCCGAGCTGGGGCTGCACAGGTCAAAGAGGCTGCCCTGGAAGCGGATCTTCCTGGAGTCTTCTCTTAGGGTCTCCCAGATGGAGCCCACCTCCTCCTGACACCTGGACAGTGCCGTCAGGGCACACGTGTGGAACGCCTCCCAGTGGCTAGGTGTGAAAGATCAATCAATAAATCAGTCAAATTTATTTTATAAAGCCCTTTTTACATCAGCAGTTGTCTCAAAGTGCTTTACAAGAGGGTCTTTCCACAATTACACTACCTGTTTCATATTTGACATTAAAACATGCCATTGGTTTTCAATCTATTGGATTTAAGAATGTCATTACTTTGATTTATCTGGCACTTTAATCGCCTCACATGCCAGGCTTCAAAGCTCACCTGTAACACACATGGCTGAAAGTGTGTTTTACATGAGTATTTTTGGTTTATTATTGTTTTGCATTGTTGTTTTTATACAAGTGTCCAGCGATACTGTAACAGATTTTATTCTAGCGTTTTGCAAGATCAACCCTCCTTTATTTTGTAGCCACAGAAATTAGATTAGAAAAAAGAGCTGATGCTGCACAGGAACATGTTTCACCCGGGGAAGGCAAGGCCTGTGTAAGCTTTAGGCAGTAATATACTGTACTATGTATTGGAATGCACTCAGTAACAATAAACAAAAAAGATGGCCTCTGAGTTTCATTACTGCTGCAGCAAAGTCATTAATTATTCAGTACAGTGGCTCAGTGTTTCAGCACCATTCACTTCTGCTATCTTCCTCGGAGGTTACAGCATCTCTCTCTTCTCTCCACTGTTCTTACGCAAGGTACACACCTCACTGGATTTAGATACTAGATCTTATATGCACAAGCAGAAGGAGACTGCATGAAAAAATACAGACGCTGTTTTATACGTTCTGCTTACGGTCGTAAGAGTAATCAGGTCCCATGAGATCCTGGTGCACTGCAAACACAGATGTACAGTAAGTGCAGCTACATTGCACACACGCACACACACACACCCCTCTCACCTACACACAACTTCCACTCCCATCTCGCTGGTCACGTTCTCCTGGTAGTTATCCATGCCCTCCCCCAGCTCCAGAACACAGTCAGAGAAGTCCCTGTAAATATTCTCACACTTCACATCCGCCACTGAGACTCTTGCCACAGCCAGGGACACTGCAAAACACACACAGAGAGAAAAAGACGTCCAAATGCATTAAGGAAAGAAAGACCATTATATTGCCCGTTGTGAAAAAAATCATACTGTATGCATATGGTACATATCCTGTTTATTCTTTTTTATCATAAGTTGTATTATACATTTCAGGCATTGCACTTACAGAGGCCAAATATAATTGTTTTATGTCATAATAGAATAACAATAGGCTATAGTATCATCTTTATCTAGATCAGTGGATGCTAGAGGAGCTATAGGAGGACAGGCTCATTGTAATGGCTGGAATGCAGTAAATGGAACAGAGTCAAACATGTGGTTTCCATATGTTTGATGTGTTTGATACCGTTTCATTTATTCCATTCCAGCCATTACAATGAGCCCATCCTCCTATAGCTCCTCCCACCAGCCTCCACTGATCTAGATCTTTATCTATCTCCCTGTTTGAAGCAAAGAGTGTCTTCTGAAACAAATGGGAGGATGCCAAAAGTAGGTCACCCTCCTTCTTTGTTGTTCTTGGAGTTAAAATGGAGGAAACAGAGACATAACAGCTCTCAACATCCCTCCCAGTAAGTTTGGCTAACGTTTTTCTTCCAGTCTTTCCAAATGGCCTCTCAATGTAGTTTTAATGACGAGATTGCATTAGAGATATTTGGCCTCCTGTGATTTAGAGATACTTCAAAGGGTGGATGATTCCATCAGCAGATATGCTCCTGAGTGGCGCAGTGGTCTAAGGCACTGCATCGCAGTGCTAACTGTGCCACTAGAGATCCTGGTTCGAATCCAGGCTCTGTCGCAGCCGGCCGCTACCGGGAGACTCATGGGCGGCGCACAATTGGCCCAGCGTTGTCCAGGGTAGGGGAGGGAATGGCCGGCAGGGATGTAGCTCAGTTGATAGAGCATGGCGTTTGCAACGCCAGGGTTGTGGGTTCGATTCCCACGGGGGGCCAGTATAAAAAATATATGTATTCACTAACTGTAAGTCGCTCTGGATAAGAGCATCTGCTAAATGACTTAAATGTAAAAATGTTGTCAATTGATATAATCAGCATAGGCTACCTGTGAGATTGATTCATGTCACTCTTCCCTCCCACCCACTTATTGATTGCTTAGGCTCAGGGATAAGGTGTCCAAGGCCACTATTACAGCATAGAAAACATTGAAGTATATCAGGGCATGGGTTATATTGGGATTCTGAGGATAGAGCAACTGCCCCTAGATTTGGTTGCTTTGCCTGGATCATTTTCAAGAAATCTATTACATTTCCAAGTCCCACTGCACATTCAATCCATTGCCCCCTCCCCAAATACATCCCTGGCTAGAGGTAAAGTAGGCAGTGGTTATACAGTGGGTATCATAAGTATTCACCCCCCTTGAATTTTTTCACATTTGTTGCATTATAAAGTGGGATTGAAATAGATGTAATTGTACTTTTTTGTTATTGATGAAAGTGAAAAGAATATTCTACAGATGTTTACAAATTAATAACAATTAAATAACTTAAACATAGTTGTTGCATAAGTATTCACCCCCTTTGTTTAGGGAAGCCTAAATTAGTTCAGGAGTACAATTTGGCTTAACAAATCACATAATGTTACATGGACTCACTCTGTACGAAATAATAGGGGTTGACATGATTTTTTAATGACTACCCCTTCCTCTGTCCCCCATATATACAACATCTGTAAGGTCCCTCAGTCAAGTATTGAATTTCAAGCACAGATTAAACTACAAAGAGCAGGGAGCTTTGCCAAAACCTCATAAAGAAGGGCAGTGATTGGTAGATGGGTAACAATGACAAATCAGACATTGAATATCTCTTAAAGCATGGTCAAGTTAGTAATTATGCTGTGGATGAGGTTTTAAACCACCCAGACATATCAAAGATACTGTCGTCCTTCTGAACTGAGCTGCAGGACAGGAAGGAAACTGCTCAGGGATGTCACCATGAGGACATTGGTGATTTTAAAACAGCTACAGAATTGGATGGCTGTGATGGGAGAAAACTAAGGATAAATCAACAACATTGTAGTGACTCCACAATAATGACTAAATGACAGAGTGAAAAGAAGAATGCAAATATTCCAAAACATGCATATTGTATGCAACAAGGCACTAAAGTAATACTGAAAGAAAAACACAGCAAAGGAGTACAATTTTTGGCCTAAATGTAAAACCTTATGTTTGTATCAAATCCAACACAATACATCACTGAGTACCTGCCTCCTTATTTTCAAGCATGGTGGTGGCTGCATCATGGTATGAGTATGCTTGACATCAGCAAAGACTGGGGAGTTTTTCAGGATAAAAAGAAACGGGATGGAGCTCAGAACAGACCAAATCCTAGAGGAAAACCTGCTTCAGTCAGCTTTACACCAGACACTGGGAGAGGAATTCACTTTTCAGCAGGACAATAACCAACAACACAATGCCAAATCTACAATGGAGTTCCTTACCAAGAAGATAGTGAATGTTCCTGAGTGGCCAAGTTACAGTTTTGAGTTAAATCTGCTTGAAAATCTTTGGCAAGACTTGAAAATAGCTGCCTAGCAATTATCCCCAACACCTTGACAGAGCTTTGAAAATGAATAATGAGCAAATATTGGATTGTGCAAAGCTTTTAGAGACTTACCCAATAAGACTCACAGCTGTAATCGCTGCCAAAGGTGTTCCTAACATGTATTGACCAAGGGGGGTGAATACTTATCTAATCAAGGTATATTAGTGTTTTATTTTTCATTAATCTTCATTAAGTATTTAGTGTAGATTGTTGACAGAAAATTACTATTAAATCCATTTTAATCCCAATTTGTAACACAATAAAATGTGAAGAAATCCAAAGGGGGTGAATACTTATGATACCCACTATATTACTATTCGTTCAATATGAATAGCTATAGTACACCAATATGATTCAGCTTGCACAGGCTCATGAAGTTTAAAACCAGGATTTTCTGTTTAATTTATCAGGATGGAAAGTGTTTGTGCATACACATACTGTATGTGCATACATTGCATAAGTCCCTATGTTTTGAGTGAATGCATGGGTTGGTGACTTTATTGAATTAAAAAGAACGCCATTGCCAGATATAGGGTAGTGACAACACAATACTTTTAAATAATTGTTGTTATTTGGTTACAATTATTTGAACATGAATGCATGCTTAATACAGAGGTGCCATGCCCATAGGGGGCACAGGGGCACATGCCCCTTCAGATTTGTCCTCTTAAAAAAAGAAATATATATATATATAATAATATACATTTTGTTTCGCTCTGTAATACTACTGGCCACCTAGCAATTTTATGACGTTGGCTTTAGCTAGCCCAGATAGGTTCCCAATATCCCAACCTCATAACTAGCTACCATGAAGCCATTTCATGCTATCAATCAAGCAGCATACCCCTGCTGACTTGCCACTGAAGCTAAGCAGGATTGGTCCTGGATGGGAGACCAGATGTTGCTGGAAGTGGTGTTGGAGGGCCAGTAGGAGGCACTCTTTCCTCTGATCTAAAAAAAGATCCCAGGGCAGTGATTGGGGACATTGCCCTATGTAGGGTGGTGTCTTTCGGATGGGACTCTCTGTGGTCACTAAAAGATCCAATGGCACTTATTGTAAGAGTAGGGGTGTTAACCCTGGTGTCCTGGCTAAATTCCCAATCTGGCCGTCATACCATCATGGCCACCTAATCATCCCTAGCTTCCAATTGGCTCATTACTCTCCCCTGTAACTATTCTGCGGGTCATTGCTGTAAATTAGAATGTGTTCTCAGTCAATTTACCTGGTAAAATAAGGACAAAATTAAATAGCTGCCATGCCTGCTGGCAAGGTTGGTAGACTTCAGAAAAGCAAGCAATTGCTAAATGTACTGAATAAGACTCACATTCCTTTCAATATTTTACCCAGATTTTACCAGAGAAGCAGAGAAGCATATTTAGTTTATTTAAAAAAATAACCAACAGTCAGGAGGATACAGCTCAAGAGGTAAACTTAAATATGCAGAGAATTTTTATTATTTTTATTTTCTACATAGAATTAAGCATAATGATTATGGCTCTAGATTGCAGGAAGAAAATGTTTAAGGTGTTTGAAAAATACACAATTTTCCAACTTCAGGATGGGGCGTAGACCCCCTCCGGTCCACCCTCCAGCCATCCTCAGTACTTTGTGCCCCCAAACCAGCACAACACTGCAAGTCTATTTCTGGTCAAATATAATTCAAGCACTCCAAAATCTAACTGCACACACCTGAGGGACGATGCGTTATCGATAAGCACTTAAAATATGAAAAAGGCTTGGCACTATCAAATAGTAGGCTACAACTCTATTCTCACCCTGCATGCAACATCTTCATTTAGCCTACACCCTTAGTTAATAAAATATTACGTTTCATCCAACATATTATAAAAACAGAGCCAAGACAGCTGTCGAAAAATCATTCAATATGACAAAATATTATTCTACCAATAAATAAATATGTATCTAAAACGATAATTTAACCCGTCTTACCTAATGCAATAAATGCACAAAATATTAGAATCTTCGCTGACGTAAATCCCATATCCCATATCAAACCCAGTGGAGGGTGCCTCGCGCCATCTGTGGGATCCAACAAAGTCGCTCATAAATTGAGAAAAAAAATCAAAGCGAAGTAAGATGAATCGATCAAGATAAATGACTTGTGACGTCCTATCTGGTTACCATGAGGTGATTGACATTTGCAGTATCAGTTGCAGTTTATTCTCGATCCAAACCATGATAACAACCGTGACGTTACCTAACCTGCCCCTCTCGTGCGTGCTTCGTCTCAGAGCGCTTCTCTCACCTCATCGACGCTCTTCGCCAGAGATACGTTTAGTGCCATCCCATGTCTCTCATTTGCTGACAGACAAATAGCCCATTGGTACATATGGACAGTCTCCTCTCTCAATCAGATCCCTTGTTTATCTGACATCAGTCATCTTTTACTTCTCTGAGAATAATGTTGAGCAAAATCAAAAGACCAAATAAAGTGCTTATTTCAGAGCTTCATAAATTGTGGCATGAAATCAAATGTATTTGTCACATGCTCCGAATACAACAGGTGTAGACTTTACCATGAAATGCTTACTTCAGAGCCCTTTCCCAACAATACAAAGTTAAAAAGTAAGACAATTATAAAAAATAAAAAAGGAAATAGAAACACAATAAAATAACAAGGCTGTATACAGTACAAGGAGTATGCTGTTAATGTGCTGGGGCACGAGGTAGTTGAGGTGATTGAGGTAATATGTACACTACCATTCAAAAGTTTGGGGTCACTTAGAAATGTCCTTGTTTTCGAAAGAAAAGCAATTTTTTTGTCCATTTAAAATAACATCAAATTGATCAGAAATATAGTGTAGACATTGTTAATGTTGTAAATGGCTATTGTAGCTGGAAACAGCTGATTTTTTGTGTGATATCTACATAGGCGCACAGAGGCCCATTATCAGCAACCATCAGTCCTGTGTTCCAATGGCTCTAATCAGAATAGAAAGAGGAGTGGGAGGCCCCGGTACACAACTGAGCAAGAGGACAAATACATTAGAGTGTCTAGTTTGAGAAACAGCCATATCTCAGACTGGCCAATAAAAATAAAAGATTAAGATGGGCAAAAGAACACAGACTCTGCCTAGGTCAGCATCCCGGAGTCGCCTCTTCACTGTTGACGTTGAGACTGGTGTTTTGCGGGTACTATTTATTGAAGCTGGCAGTTGAGGACCTGTGAGGCGTCTGTTTCTCAAACTAGACACTAATGTATTTGTCCTCTTGCTCAGTTGTGCACCGGGGCCTCCCACTCCTCTTTCTATTCTGGATAGAGCCAGTTTACGCTGTTCTGTGAAGGGAGTAGTACACAGCATTGTACGAGATCTTCAGTTTCTTGGCAATTTCTCGCATGGAATAGCCTTCATTTCTCAGAACAAGAATAGACTGACGAGTTTCAGAAGAAAGTTATTTGTTTCTGGCCATTTTGAGCCTGTAATCGAACCAACAATTGCTGATGCTCCAGATACTCAACTAGTCTCAAGAAGGCCAGTTTTATTGCTTATTTAATCAGCACAACAGTTTTCAGCTGTGCTAACATAATTGCAAAAGGGTTTTCTAATGATCAATCAGCCTTTTAAAATGATAATCTTGGATTATCGAACACAACGTGCCATTGGAACACAGGACTGATGGTTACTGATAATGGGCCTCTGTACGCCTATGTAGATATTCCATTAAAAATCAGCCGTTTCCAGCTACAATAGCCATTTACAACATTAACAATGTCTACACTGTATTTCTGATCAATTTGATGTTATTTTAATGGACAAAAAAATTGCTTTTCTTTCGAAAACAAGGACATTTAAGTGACCCAAACTTTTGAACGGTAGTGTACATGTAGGTAAAAGTGACTAGGCTATCAGGATAGATAATAAACAGAGTAGCAGCAGTGTGAAGAGTGTGAGAGTGAGTGTGGCATCAATATGCATGTGTGTGTGAGCGTATGTAGTTTGTGTGTGTGTGTGGTGTGTATGTGTGTGTTGGAGTGTCAGCGTAGTATGTGTGTGTGGGTAAAAAAAAAAAGATAATTACCTTAACTTTTAGGGGAAAGTGAACACATTTGTTCTCCGGATCTTTTACCTTTTATTTTTGTAGAAAAAAATTACAGAATTCAATCAGTTACATTTATTGTAGTATGGTTTGGGAGAAAATGAAACCTGACACTGACAGCAAGTAATTTGTCAAATGCATTTGTATCATTCACATTTAACAATGTAACCTGGTAGCCGATGGCCTTTTCTTTCAAAATCCTCTTCACAGCCTTTCAAAGCATCTTTATGATATTCCAAAGTATGACACTGAAAAACCTGGTCCACATGAACAAGGAAAACTTTCCCTTGGAGGAACTTGGAGACCCTTTTGGTCACTATCTCAATTCCTGACTGTGCAGACAAGGAGTCAGCCACTAAGGCACTCCCTGTTAGCCACTAAGGCACAGAATGAAATAGAACTAAATGATCAATATCGTAATACTTCAGGAATAGATTTTGTTTGAAATATTTGGTGTAGCATTATAGCTTTCTTTGGCAGGTCTAAAACTCCCCAAGTCTTCCCCATGTCTTTCATGGAGCTGGCATGGTGATTCAATTACTCAGTCTTTAGTCTCATATCAGTCCTTTAGTGTTTCAACCACACAGTGATAAGAAAACAAGTTCCTTTAATAAAAGAAATGTGGGCCAAATTTGCACAATTATGACCATGTCCAACTAGAGTGGTGTCTAAATGGGACACATTCGTGACACCAGTGTCTTCAGTCCAAGAACCCTCGACATTGAGACATTAGGTGTAGGCCTATGTATCAGCGGCAAAAAGCTTGGGTAACTAACTAGGTCCACTCAGAGGTTGAGCAGAGATTGATGGTGTTGACGGTTGTTGGAGGTTGTGATGACATGGGCCTTGAACATGGGCCTGGTGGACATTGATATGAAGATTGCCGGATCATGGAATGGTTTACTGATCTACTCCCGCCGCTCTCTTGGTGCGTTTCCTTGGGGAGGCTTTAGGGGATGCCGATGCCTTGCCTGTAAGAGAGAGAGAGACAAAGAGAGTAAGAGAGAGAGAGAGATGGTCAAAATAGCCATTTGAGTTGATATTAATCTTTGTACAGACGAGATAAAAACAGAGGATGCCTTTTCAAGTACACTTCCAAAAAAGTGGTTGTTATAAGCAGAGTTTGAATTTGTCTTCCTGCACTCAGGAAGAAAAGCTATGAGAGAGTATTAAAGCTCATGACAAAGCTCAACTTACTCATGATGTTGAGGGTCTCTTGGGGAATCCAGCTTATGTCCACACCGTTCATCCCACCAGTGCCTGTCTCCACCTTCACTGGGAGCCTCTTCCTCTGCACAACATAGATCAAAGGTCATCACTTAATTCACCCTGGTGCTCATTTTGAATGTAACATTTACCACCATATGTAAAGAGGAGGAGATATTTTAGACTATCACAATTTAGATTCATGAAATGTTGAAGAAGACTTGTACCGTCCTAGACTCCAGCACCTGGTACATGCCAAAGACCGCCAAGACAACCAATCCAGTCAGGAAGATATACATGAATATTCTGGAGGAGAAACATGTCATACTATAAAAATGTGTTACCATATTTAAACAAATGTACTTAAAACATGAATGAATGTAACCAAATATTGGCATAAAAATAGAATTGATGTATGCAAAGAAATGCATACGTCTCTCCATCCAGTCCCTCCTCCAGCTCAACAATAGTGACAGTCTGGTTGTAAATGGCTGTCTGGAAACCGTTGCCCTGCGGAACAGTCAAAACACAAGATCAGCGCCTAAGCCTCAGGCCATACATTCCAAGGAATTTCTGAACCTGGTCAACAACCCATGTGAGCTGGGCATCCTGAAGATGCAAAACACTCTAATAATAAAAACAATCAATCAATCTAGTCTCACCTCACTGTCCTGGTAATTGAGTAGGATAACCAGGCCGAAGGGACGACCAGCCATAGGCTGAGCAGGGATGAAGGAGTACTCAAAGGAGGCCTGCTTCTGGGGCTGGACCACGGTGCTCAGGGGCAAGGCTGTGAACTAGATACCAAAAACAGCTTGTCTACTTTTCTGATCAACAATGGCAGAAAGTTCCCAGTACTACATTTTACAGGGCATTCCATGTATATTTGGTAAATACAACACACTGTTTTTGAACTAACTGTCATCTATCATGGGTAATACATACGTTATCGGGTTTGTAAAGGCTTGATAAAAAGTTACTATTCTTGTAATTGTTAGTTAATAAATTGTAAGTAAACAGATTACAAACCCCATTATAATGTATAGTGTTACAGAATCATGTGTGTTTTCAAGGGGACTTTCTATTCCTCAGATGAGGCATGCAGGCATCACTCATCCGAAAGCCCAGACTCACGTTCTGGATGTAGAACTGGAAGTCCTGAGGGTAACGGAAGGAGGCCTCCAAGGAATGGACAGTGAAATCCTGGCTTCCCTTGTTGGTGAAACCCACCAGGAACTTCACAATCTCATTGGCTGGGAACTCTGGATAGAGGGCACAAAGATATACAAATTAAACCATTGATGTGAATGAATAATTACATTCCATGCTGTCTCTTTCATTTACAATGAATGACTGAGTGTAAAATGATATGAAAGTCTTCATCAAGGAAGAGAAGACCAACCTTCCCCAGTCACAAAGACAATGGTGGTGTCAGCATCAGGGTGAGAGGTTACATCTCCAACTGCAGCATCTTCATCTAAGTCATCTTCTGTTTCCTGAGAGATTTCAAAATATCAAATCAAATAGCAATATGTCAAACAACTGTCTGGTTCATTTGGCAGGGACAATAGAAGCCGCTTTCATCCCAGTTCGACCAGCGTCACATACTGAGCCTGGGACCTGATCTTCCTCCACCAGCACCTCATCCTCTTCCTCTTCCTCCTCCTCCTCGACTGTTGAATCTGGGGAAATGTCCTCTGCAGACTCAGAGTCTGCAGATACTTGGCCTGTCCAAACAGAGAGAAGAATCCATTAGCAATGTGTGCGTTTTAACACATACACATAACATAAATTGCTATAATAGATTATGATAATTGTGATGAGAAACTAGTCAACTCGCCACCTGTTAAAAAGGCCAGGCCTCTCAACCTAACATTACCCCTAGTTTGTCCATCTTCACTAAAAATACACATAGGATACAATGGATCAAATAAATGTAAAATAGTGACACTACTAAATAGATACAAGTGATCATGAAAAGAGATTAGTTAATTTGTGCTCCTTCACAAAGAATGTGTAGCCTAAAGACTAAAACTAGGTCATGTTATGCTTCATGATTGGTAGGCCTGATTAATCGAAAATGCTGGATACATTGCAAAACCAATCATTTAGTAGTAGGCCTGCCCTATTGTATCAATTGGATCACTATGTAACAGGGAAAGCTACAATCTAACAGTCAGCGCCTCAGCACTGGTGTTCCAATGTATAAATACGGTACTAACGGAACGATGATCCTAGGACACGTCACCATAGAAAAAAGGGGAACCCAGAGTAGAGATTACCGTTCTCCTAGTTGGCAGCACGATCGCGGATTTTATTTCCTTCTTTTTTTTTTCCTATCTAAATAAGAGTCCTCCAGCAAAGACATGCTAAACTTTGGGAATATCACAGAATACTAGTTGTGTAGAGCAACAATATTGCCTACCAGACACATTTTGTCTTGAAAAATTAGTCTTTTTGTTTCTCCATGTAAGGTTATTTTTGTCTTTCACCACACAATTACATCTATGGAAATGTAACATTTGCATAAACATGCGAGGTATCAACATGCCTATATTGAAAGCTTCCCAAAGTTTTATGTTCCTGCTATAATTTTATGTTAAATGCATTTGTTTACTTAATTGATCAAATATGGATATTGAGCACGAAGCTTTCAGACAATGCAGTCTTCAAACTTTAAATATCACTGAATGAAAAACTGCGTTATGCCACGTCAATGTTAACTTTGCTAACGTTTCATTATTGCAATGACCTCTGGACTGCTGGAGTGACGAATACAAATTCAGAAGGCTAAAATGACTTACCGAAGGATATCAGGCTACATGGGAAAGCCATGAGAAAAAGTATAAGTATTTTTGATCCGAAATTGAACATTTTACTGCCGTCAAGTTCGTAGCTTGCTACATACACATGAGCACTCAGGAAAAGGAAGAACTGTTAGAGAAGACGTGGGATAAGAGAGTTTTAAGACACGCCCATACTATGAACGTATAGGGATTGTCAAAATGTTTAGGAGAAAATGATTGAATCAACAACAACAACAAAAACATTTAACTTTACATGAACCATTCTTCCATAATCGATAATTAAATTAACTTATGTTTGTGGGGTATTTCTCAGTATAGTTAACCATTGCAGATAATTTTAGGCCAACGTTGCCTAAATAATTACAATACTTTTTAAATATTTGCAGACACTTTATAATTTCTTTTTTTTTTGCACACTAGCAAGCACATTAGTACATTTCCCAAAACGTACAAACAAAAAATTAGTCAGAATCTTTCAGACAAAAATAAAGCGCTGCTGCATCCCTTGATATAAAACTCATACATATTATTCTCTCTCTTTTGCGCATTACCAAAATGTGGCTCAGCATGAGTTGTTTTCATAGGAAGGATTGTGGTTTTCTGCAGATTGCCCTGCTGATGCACAAAAGAACATGACAAGCTAACATCCTGCAGCAAACTCCCAGAAAGAACCCTAGATTAACCTGCATCACTAAAACCAACACCTTAAAATACAAATATAATAGTTTAGTACATAATTACGTTTCAATATAATTACATATTGGGTCAATCTTTTAGAAAGTCACAGGGAGGGATTTATTATTTTAATTTTTAATTTTTCTCAAGCGAGTCTCTGAATTTATCAGGCGTATAAACTCGCTATCATGGCAAGCAGCTGTAACAGCAGCACTCAAACAACAGGTAAGTCTGATCTATTTTAACTCACAATATTGTGGTGTCCTTTTTAAAAGCTTGTTTGAAGTTAGACAATATTTTATTATCATCAAGAGGTCAAAAAGGTCAAATGTACATGCCATAAAAAAAACTATGAAACTCAAAACTCTTCAGGCTCAAAGACTGGTGTCAGTGTTACATTTTTAAATGTATTATGCAGTGTAATCAAAATGAACCCACACACTGTTGTAGGCTCCCAAACGACATGTGGGAGCCTACAACAGTGTGTGGGTTCATTTAGTTTACTTTGAACTATTTATTCATTTCAGTGTCTTCTGGAGCTATATACATATTACACATGACAAGCCATCTTGAAAAAAAAATCTTGAAAGAAAGATGAATACCCACACACTATTCCATGCACCTGCCGTTTTATTGTGCAAAATTTCGACACGAAAGTCTTTATCAGACTTGCCATCAAATCTTGTCAGCCCAATGCAAAGAAAACAATGTATACTAACGGTTATACACCTGTTCTCTTTCTTGTTGTTGTTCTCCCCATAGTTTTGGGTATTTTCTGCGGGTCTTTTGAGCTGTGGATCCTACTGGCAGTTGTCAGCACAATGTTGGTCTTTACAGTGTGCTGGAATATTCTTTGCTGTATCGCAACACATTGTACAGGTAAGACTGAAGTCAAAAGTTAACACTATCTCTGATTTAAATGAAAAAACTGACAGAGAACACTATTTTGTTGTTACAGATAAAGGAAATACATTTCTGCCCCGCTTCAGAAGGAGGTGTGTATCGCCTACAAGCAATTTTTTAATCTGTGCTCAAATCCATTTACAGATCATCTGATCATATTCTTGGTTTTGTACCTGACTTGCATATCATAGACCCCCTTTTGCAAAACTTTAAATACATATGTCATCAGTGAATACAAAATTCACTGTTAAGTGCTTTGTTCACAGAATATTAACACATTGTTTTTGTCAGAAGAGAAATGTATGCAATTGTGTTCACTGTTTCCGGCAATCAGTAAACTCTAAATCACCCCATCAGTGTCATACCATGTACAATAAAGGGAAAGATCTAGGCAATAGGGACAATCTAATTTTTAGACTTTTTACAATATTGCGGACATGCAGAGATGCAGAGGTTTACTTTAAGTAACTTTGGGTTACTCTTAAGTCATAATCTCCAACAATTTTACCTTCCATTATAGAGCATTGCTTTGGTATAGATTGAGGGCTATACATTCATATCAGTTGTGTTCCTCCATTGTATTCACCTTTCCTTAGTTCTATTGTGGATTGTGTTTCTGTGCGCCAATGGAAAGTCTACAAAACTAAGTGCAAACCAGCCTATGTATTGAATACATGAATTAGATTGTGATGATACCGATGAATGAATCTGGCTAAAGCGCCGGCTCACTGGCTGAAGCGCTGGCTCACTGGTTAAAGCGCCTTCTGGCTGGCTCACTTACTTACTCATTCGCTCGCTCACTCGCTCGCTCACTTGCTCACTCTCATAGCAGGCAGGGGCAGAACATCCAGCCTTTCTGGGGGATATAAATCTGGTCTGGAAAGATGGGGAGGCCGAATAGTCCACGCGCGGGCGCTTGTTCTCCAGTACAATGGCGGCTAGCAGCGTGCCTCTTTCCACTGTTTTATGCATCACTACAGCTGAGGTGCATCTAACAGTTGAAGCTCTGCTACAAGAAAAGAAAGGGAAAGTAACTGAACTGAATGACTACCGACCAGTAGCACTCACATCCTCCCTCCACGACACACTCAACCCTCTCCAATTCGCATACCGCCCTGACAGATCCATGGACGACGCAATCGCCATTGCATTGCACACTGCCCTCACCTACCTGGACAAAATAAATGCATATGTGAGGATGCTGTTCATCGACTACAGCTCGGCCTTCAATACCATAGTGCCCTATAAGCTCATTAGAAAGCTCACGGCGATGGGTCTGAACTCCTCCCTATGTAACTGGGTCCTGAACTTCCTGATGGGCCGCCCCCAGGTGGTGAAGGTAGGCAACATTACCTCCTCAACACTGATCGTCAACACGGGGGCCCCACAAGGGTGCGTCCTCAGTACCCTCCTGTATTCCCCTGTATACCTATGAATATGTGGCCTCACACAGTTCCAACTCCATCATCAAGTTCGCTGACGACACAACAGTAGTAGGCCTGATTACCAACAACGACGAGACAGCCTACAGGGAGGAGGTAGGCACTCTGACGGCGTGGTGCCAGGTAAGCAACCTCTTCTTCAACGTTAGCTAAACAAAGGAGCTGATTGTGGTTTTCAGGAGGAACCAGGCTGGACACGCCCCCATCCTCATCAACGGGGCCGCCGTGGAGACGGTCAATAACTTCTAATTCCTCTGCGTACACATCTCAGAGAAGCTGAAATGGTCTAACAACATGGACACCGTGGTGAAGAAGGCACGACAGCGACTCTTCAACCTCAGGATGCTGAAGAAATTTGGCCTGTCCCCGAGGGCCCTCACAGTGTTCTACAGGAGAACCATTGAGAGCATAATGTCGGGCTGCATCATAGCCTGGTACGGAAAATCCACCACTGCGGACCGCAAGGTGCTTCAGAGGGTGATACGTGCAGCCGAACGCACCATTGGGTGTACACTGCCTGCCCTACAGGACACCTACAACACCAGGTGTCAAAGGAAGGCCGATTCTCAGGGACCCCAGCCAACCAAGCCATGCCCTGTTCTCCCTGCTTCAATCACTCAGACACAGTCAGTACAGGAGCATCATAGCAAAAACTGGAAGACTGGCCAATAGTTTCTACCCTCAGACCATCAGGCTGCTGAATAGCCACCACTAGTCAGCTACCTGCTCCCCCCGCCCCCTGCTACTCCCATTATGGACCCCCCCCCCCTCTCCCAACGACATTCATCACTTTTGCAGTTGTTAATATATATATTATAGATTTTTGAAATATAATTTTTATTGTTGTTTTTTCACACCCCCTCAATGGTCATTCCCCCACACCCCCTCAACAGTCTTTACTCTGCCTCCACACCAATGGACATTTTTTTTATTAATCACTGCTACAGTTATGATATATATAGTGCTATTTCTACTTATATTGTTGTTGTTTTTTATTACCATTTTCATGGTTTTATTTCACTTAGTCCTACATGTTGGAGCTCAGAGCCTAAGATTTTCACTGTACCCTGCAATAACACCTGCAACCCCTGTACATGTGATTATTAAACACTCTGAATCTGAATCTCTGAATCTGAATCCTGCAAACAATATATATATATACAGGGAGGAGGTAGGCATATATACACTACCATTCAAAAGTTTGGGGTCACTTAGTAATTTCCTTTTTTTTGTCCATTAAAATATCATCAAATTAATCAGAAATACAGTGTAGACATTGTTCATGTTGTAAATGGCTATTGTAGCTGGAAACGGCTGATTTTTTTATGGAATATCTACATAGGCGTACAGAGGCCCATTATCAGCAACCCTCAGTCCTGTGTTCCAATGGCACATTGTGTTTGCTAATCCAAGTTTTTCATTTTGAAAGGCTAATTGATCATTAGAAAACCCTTTTGCAATTATGTTAGCACAGCTGAAAACTGTTGTGCTGATTAAAGAATCAATAAAACTGGCCTTCTTGAGACTAGTTGAGTATCTGGAGCATCAGAAATTGTGGGTTTGATTACAGGCTCAAAATGGCCAGAAACAAATAACTTTCTTCTGAAACTCGTCAGTCTATTCTTGTTCTGAGAAATGAAGGCTATTCCATGCGAGAAATTGCCAAGAAACTGAAGATCTCGTACAACGCTGTGTACTACTCCCTTCACAGAACAGCGCAAACTGGCTCTAACCAGAATAGAAAGAGGAGTGGGAGGCCCTGGTGCACAACTGAGCAAGAGGACAAATACATTAGAGTGTCTAGTTTGAGAAACAGACACCTCACAGGTCCTCAACTGGCAGCTTCATTAAATAGTACCCGCAAAACACCAGTCTCAACGTCAATAGTGAAGAGGCGACTCCAGGATGCTGACCTTCTAGGCAGAGTTGCAAAGAAAAAGCCATATCTCAGACTGGCCAATAAAAATAAAAGATTAAGATGGGCACAGACACTGGACTTTTTCTTTGGGACTGCAATGAATGATGCAGAGCCATATATACAGTATATAGACAGATATAGATACAGTATCTGCATGGCTCTGGATCATGGATTATTGTCTTTATTCATCTTTAGATTAGTTGATCTGGTTTGATCATGATGGTATTGGACTATTATTACATGCTAATATCTGTTTTGCTAATGACCTCACTGTTTCCTCTCTCCTCATCCTCGATGGGAATCAACCAGTCTAAGTCTGAGACTGAGGGACATGGAGGACAACCCTATCTATGGGAACATCAGCTACACCCAGACTAGTGAGAAGAAGTTCCCAAAAGATACTTGCTTGCAGAATTTCAGTTGAATTTCATTTTGAATGTCAATGTTTCACTGTTGTCAGAGTATATCGTAAGCCCCAGAAAGCAAAGCATTGTGAATTGTAATGTAATAAAACAGGTAATTTTGTTTTTCAAATGTGTTTTGTAGTATAGTTACTATGTAGTTACATGTAATAACACCAAGAAAACACAATTCCATGTGATGAGTGACCCAGGGTTGAATGATCCTCTTTTTCACAACTGGTTTCTCTTTGTTGACAGGAGTAGAACTTCCACTCAGTTCGTCATCCGTCAGAGATCGTCCGGTCAAAAGTGGTCAGGTGCTACTTTTTCTACACCTTCTCCTTGTGAAGCACAAATGTCTCCTGTTATTGTTAATTATTTGTGTTACCTAGCTCTTTGTGTCATGTATAGGCCCATACCAAAAGCTTCTACAGTATATTAAACATAACCTTGTCCCCAGGCTCAATTGCTAGAGAGTGCTGGCTGGTGGAGAAGATTATATTAAAGGACCAGTGCAGTCAAAAACGTGATTTCCCTATGTGGTTGGAATTATACTGCGAACTTGTGAAAATTATGATAATACCCTTTTAGTGTAAGAACTGTTTGAAAAGACTGCCTGACATTTCAGCCTGTATTGGTAGGATGAAGTTTTGACCTGCCTGGTAAAATCACCAAGCGGTAAATTAGTTAGCAGACCAATAGGAAAGAGAGTTCCAAACCTCTCTACAGCTAATTTTCAGGTTTTCCCCTACACACTCAGACCACTCCCAGACAGTCCTAGCAAAATTCTTTCTTGAGAAATTGTTATTTTCTAAGAAGCTATTTTTGTTTCTTTTTGACCATTTTAATTAAAACAATCACAGTAAGGTACTTAGTTGTTACCCAGAAATTATTTGATATTCAGATAAAAAGGGCTGCATTGGACCTTTATTAAACATACATTTACCATGTTTCTTCTTTCTGTCAGGCGCCTTCTAAAGGCCAGGACTGTTATGCCAACCTGACTCTGAAGGCCCCAAAGATGGTGTCTGGCCGCAGCTCCCCACAGCCCCAGATTGAGTACTCTGACGTGGTGACACTACAGGGGCCACAGGAAGCGGAGAAGGTGACCGTGGCCAACAACAACGCCGACACGGTCTCTGTGCTTTCTGACCTCTACGCCTCAGTGCAAACGGATCGCACCAAAACTCTGGACACAGTGGATGGCAATGACGGCTATGCCAACCATGTCTGAGAGACAAAACATTGGTGATACGCTTTCCAATCTGTTATTGAAATTTTGTGTTTTTATTTGGCAAGATTTGGAGATGACGTTGGTTGTCTAGCCGCAGTTTCACTTCATAACCACTGAGTGTCGCTATTTGTTAGCTTAAAAAATATATATCCCCTTGCTCTTCCTAATATCAAAATCTGCAGAGCAGTGTGTGTATGACAACTGTGTGGTTTAACTTCAGTAATCAGTACATGCAGTCAGACATTATTACAACTTGTTGAGGCCCGTACTTACTTATCTAAGTCCCCTGACCCTTTGTCTGAAGTTGAGGCTCAAACAAGAAGCCAGTAGGAGGTAAGAGGCTACATGCAAAGCACAGGAGGTTGGTGGCAACTTAATTGGGGAAGACGGGCTTGTGGGAATGACTGGAGCGGAATTAGTGGAATGGTATCAAATACATCAAACACACCGTTTCCAGGTGTTTGATGCCATTCCTTTGGTTGCGTTCCGGCCATTTTTATGAAATAATAGGGTTATTTCCTCTATTATTTCAATGCCACATTTTCAGATGCCTGTGCCTACCTTCCGGGGAATGTTGTTTGCCGTTCTATAATCTCCAGATCCTGCCTAACAGTAAGGTTGAACTGATAATGAAATGTATGGAGATAAAATTGTGAAAAGCAATCAATTTCTATATCGTTGAGATATTCATCCATGTTTTTTATGTCTAAATTGTTAATACCTCCTTACGTAATAAACAAAAAACTGATCATTTATTTAAGTTCTCTGCATATTTATTTTCAGTTCATTTGACGGTCGGATTCTCCTGTAAGGGTAATAATGTGTCATAGACCTTTTGATATGTTAATGTTTAAACTCATAGAATTAGTGATTGTGAGTGACTAGGCCTTGAGATACAGGCATGAGGCTTTGCAAGTTGTAATCATTATACAACGTGCTTGTTATCACTGTATTTGATAAGTTTGTCTGAAATTCATTTGAAATCTAGAATTCATTACTGTACTACATATACCACTCTCAAGCTTTTAATTTAGAGGGTACCAGGGTATTAAATTGCTTGTTTTTTGGGGGGTTAAAACTTTTATGAAAATGTTAAAGATATCATTGATTTTAAATGATTACACATTTGGGTTATGGAGTGTTTCTAAGGCCTTAACTGTATTGAGGTCAAATTCTTGAGACATTTGCAACCAACATTGGCAGCAAGATCATCTCAGGGTGAGCTCTTCGTTTAAAGGGGTGTTCCATTCAAAATACAACCTAACACGATTCATCCACACACTGTATCTGGACTGCATTAGAAAGTTGTCTGCATTAAAATGTTTGTCCTATGTTGTTATAATGGATCCATCTTTGAATTGTGCTGTTTTTATGCAAAATTCTAAAGTGGATTTGCCTGCAGTAACCACAGGTGTTTATTTTGTATCTGCTTAAGGGATGTGTCAATTCCTTCTCAAGTCAGTGAATTCAGTAGGTGAATTGAATTCCCAAATCCTCATTGAAAATAATTATAATTTTCAATTGTTGATTTGGAAATCCAATTAAACTCCTAAACTGATTTAATTTAAATGAACCCTTAGCCTACAATGGTCACGCCCCTGTGGAAATCTAATTAACATAATACAAAAATCCCCATCAAAATCCGTCTGTTTAAACTGTGCTTTTTTGCATGAGCTACATCTCAATCCACCGCATCTGCTGATATCGCCCTTCTGCATCTGCTGTGAAAGGTGACAGAGCTAGAGAGGTGTTTGTCAGACCATGAGACATCCCGAAAATCGGTCTTGTGACAAAATCGTATGTAGCATCAGAACGGTTTTGCTATATGACGCCCACAAGCCTCACAAGACTCCTCTGAAGTCGGTACAACCTCTTCTGCCAACTTCTGTCTGTAGCATCGGAACGGTTTGGGCTACACACTAATATGACCCTTCTGTGGAAAGCTGATACTCTTCGTTTTGCTCTAGGATGCCCACAAGCCTCACAAGACTTGTTCGAAGGTCCCGGTACCAGTTTAGAGAATGAATGGAAGTATATATGGAGATAGTTTAGTGCCTAAAATAAGGGGATAAATACATGTAATAAAAAATAAACAAAAGTTTCCTGATCTTTCTTATATTTCACAGATGTAGGACAGAATAAACTTCCTTTCGATTTATTTTGGGGACTATCTGTTGTTCCATGTAGTGAATCTGTTATTCAATGTGTTTCTATTGGCTAATAGCAGTAATGCCAAATTCAATGTTTAATCCATTATTTAAAAAAATTATTTTTTGTATACCTTAAGCGGTCTTAAAATTCAAAATCAAATAGCTAAATAATCCTTGGTATGACCATTTTAAAACAATTCCATATGTTATTTTAGAACCCCTCCCCCGGCTTAGACAGGGCTTAGACTTTATAATAATAATATTATAATATGCCATTTAGCAGACGCTTTTATCCAAAGCGACTTACAGTCATGCGTGCATAAATTTTTTTGTGTACGTGTGGTCCCGGGGATCGAACAGGGTTAATAACAAAGTATACTATATGTTCACAAAATATTCACCCAATATATATTAGATATGATGTATTATTTGTATGGATAACTGTTCATAGATATAAATGTACTATAATGTTCTGTTATCTTGTAGACTTTGTGTTGTCCAGCATCTTATCTCAATCAGGATGGCAGACGAGTAATAATCCACAAGCGATAATTGTTCATGAGAAAATACTTTATGGTCAAAATGGTAAATTAACGCTGATCAATAAAATAACGATAATCCCATAATAAAGAATGAATACCTTGGTAAAACTGTTTTTGCAGACTATTTTTGCAGATTATGTGTAGGACCGTCCATAGAAATGAAAGTGGACAGAAAGTTCAAAGTAGTTTGAAGTGATGCTGCTCTGTACTCTCTACCAGAGATAATGGGTAATGTGGATGATATTGTCTTAAAAGCCTTACTAAACTCTGGGTGAAATCAATGATGTGGACATAATACAATGTTTTGACCACTTTGAACCTGTGTATCCGGAAACCCAGCAATCCTTCATGGCTCTGTTCCCAGAGCTTCTGTGAGAGGGGACCAGTGACAAAGGGCTTCACACACAAGACTGCTTTATCAAGTGCAAAAGCAACAACACTGACCTGCTAATAAAAATTGTTGTATTCCTAATGTGTGGGGCCAGGGTTTTTTCCTGACCATGTGACCTGACCAGGAACAACTCTGGGCCTTGGCCTTGCAATGGCAATTAAAAGATCCAACAATGATATGAAGGACACATGGTCCCACCACCGCAAACACTGTGTAGTTAAGGGAGTCATCAATAACGGCAATTCACTTTTGAAGAGTGATTATTTTATAATTCAACAAAGATAGTCCACTCAGCAACAATAGTCACTATCAGTGGTGGCTGGTGCCACTTTAAATCGAAGGATGGGCTTATTGTAATGGTTGGAAGGGAATTAATGGAACGGTATCAAACACATGAAACACATGGTTTCATGGTACTTGTTGCCTTTTCCAATAGAACACCTTGTGCCGGTCAACAATACAGATGTAGGATCTTAATTTGATCACCCTGTTGCAGGAGAAATTACAAATGTGTAGTGTATTTGAGGTTTAGACAGGCTTTTGAAGTTTGTATTTCCACTTACTTGATTTTCATGAAAAATGTATCAACCCCTACAAAAATGTAGATTCATTATAATCCACATAATAACACAGAGAGAACAATGAGACAGATATTTCACCGGATGTATAAATGTGAAGCATCGGCTTGGCGTTTCCACTCACTACCAAATATGTGGCCGGCAGTGGCTGGCAGTGGGAGAAGATAGAACAAGATGGATTTTGGCCGACATTCTGCTAATTTTCTCATTGATGAAACATTTGATCTCAATACAGTTTTCTGTCCCCAAAACTAGAATCTGTTATGAACATAGTTGACTACGTTTTGTAGACTATACCCTTTGCCAAAGTTGTAAAAAATTGCGTTGTTTAGAAGGAACTCAAAGGCAAATTGAGTTATTGCACACGCACACGTAACAAACAATAGGATCTTGCTAGCTCGTGTTTGACTCTGCCCACCTCCTTTCTTGTTCTGCCCACTATGACTCATTTGTTCCCATTTGAAATGACGGGCTGTGGAATATCTTGGTTAAGTTATACAAATCTTTGATAATAATTCACATTTCCTGTTGCTGCAGGATTCTTTTCCTGCTGTAGCAAACTGGCTCAAATTAAGATAATACATACAGTATGTGGGTATCACAATGAAAAGAGACACTGTACACAAATAGATACATATCTGTCATAAATAGCTGTTCATCATCAATGTTATTATCAGGGTAGACTTTCCTTGGTCCTTCAACCAACACTTCTGGCACTGTTGCAATTTTAACATTAGCCGCTGGTGCTGATATAGAGTGGTACGATTATTGAGGTGCTGATAAGATAGTAAACTATAGATTAAAATTGTAAACAGGAGATTAAGACTGTAAAAGAGGTTGAGTATTATATGTTTCTGTCACGGTTTCGGCCGAGGCTGCTCCTCTTCCTTGTTCGGGCAGGCTTCGGCGGTCGTCGTCTCCGGAGTACTAGCTGCCACCGTTCTATGTTTCATGTTCGTTTGGTTTTGTCTCTTTGTAACACCTGTCCCTTGTTTGTGTTTGATTATGTCCCCTATTTAGTTTCGTTTGTTTGGGTCAGGTGTTATGCGTAATTGTTGATTGTCAGACTGCCTCTGTATGGTATATTTCTCTCGTTGTCGCTTGTCCCGAGAGTTCGCACTACGTGCGCTGTTCTTGCATATTTCGCACTGTGTTTTGTGCGTAATTGTTTTGCGCCACCCGGTTGGGTTGGCGACTATTGTTGTTCACGTGTTTTTGAACGTTACTAAAAGACGGTTGAAGTCATCCTGGTTCCTGCGCTTGATTCCTTCCACTCATCTACACACACCACTCTGACAGAATTACGCAACATCCATGGAATCAGCAGGAGCGACCGCGC